ATCACCAGCCGTAAATAATTTTACTTTAATTGTATGGGGGGTCAAAATTGAGCAAGTACAGTCACACTCGTAACTTACGTAAGCATCACTACGTATGATAAAACAAAGTCTGCATCTGTCTGTTCGTGATAAATTCAAGAACTACTGAACGGAATTTCATGAAGTTTTCACTAATAGACCATCCTAATTTGAATCTCACTTAACATTATGTCTTATAACAAAAAAAAGATAAAGAAAACCTAAATATTCCTTAAGAATATAACTTGACAAGGAGAAAAACATAGGATAGTTCCCATTTCAGTTTTTAAAAGGGTACGCGAGAGATAAAGTCCTACATAGGTACATTATAGCGTGACAGACCGATAATCACGCGGGCGAAGCCGTAGGTAAAAGCTAGTTTACACTACAAGGAAATTGATATTTATGATGCAACATTAGGTACAGAAATTACCCGTTTAATTGATTTTAAACTAGACAGATGCAACTTGGGTACCTATTAAGTAAAGCTGATAATTAGCTTTTCCTATTGACCGCATTAATATTGGTTGCAAGTAACTTTAAACCCTATTTTATTAAGCTATCAATAACTTTTTAAATGATTTTTGCTTTGTGTCTTAAACTTATGAAAATAGGGTCCTCATTTTGCTCGTTTCAAAACTTTGTGCCAGTAAGATAGGGCTACTAAATAAATTCCAAATTATTATGTCTCCAACTGTCCTTTCTTTCAATTCGTTTAACCATTTCGTTCTCGCGTTACTCGCTCGTATTCTCTTTGAGACCATCATCATTATTTTTGGCTTTTACTAAAGTATGGTAAGAGGAAATACAATTACTTTACAATACATAGAGAGGAACTAACGCATGTTCCCATGGTAAGAAATCAGAACACTTGTTAAAAGTCAATTAATGTGAGGCTTCGAGCTTAATCGTGTTGCCGTGGATAATCACCCATCCCATCTTAACGCGCCATCTAAACACCTAATACGATATCTGTAGTGAAAGCATAGAAGCACCTACACGGGGCTATTCTTGCCTCTCGTTCCCTCTATGAAGCCAGGATAGATTCTGGACTATTTCTTCTATCCCTCGTTCCCACCATTGTAACCCCTGTGCAGCCAGGATAGATACTGGCTACACTGAACTAGCTGTAGATAGCTTAAATGCGAATAGAAACCCAAACAGTGGTCAAGTTTGTCCAAGGGGAAAGATAAACTATTTTGGACGCGCAACGAAATTAAGCAGCATAAAAGTACCCACTACATGACATGCGATAGTAAGTACATGCCAATTTAGGATAGAAGATGTAGAATAAAATGTCTAACAATATTTTTCGAATAACCTTTTTATGGTCTTCGCACCTCAAAAGGAAGGAAAACGAATCTCTTTTTAACGCAGTTTAACGCACTCTACATTGTAGGCAGAAACTTGTACCTGTGCTGTGTTATATTCTTAATCGTATGTAAATATCCTTCCATATAGCTTTATTCCACGGTAGCGCATTTTCTTACATAACTTTTCAATTCCTATCATTGGAGGTCCGAAAATATTTCTCATACAATTTGATACAATAATGATCATTCTTCATAAAAAATTTAAAACCTACATATTTAAAAACATAATCATTGATATTCATAATATCACTAATCATACACTTAGTTTTTACTAATATTTGTTTTCATATATTTTTCTATACTAATGATCGAAACNAAATTTAAAACCTACATATTTAAAAACATAATCATTGATATTCATAATATCACTAATCATACACTTAGTTTTTACTAATATTTGTTTTCATATATTTTTCTATACTAATGATCGAAACTCATAATCATTCGAATAAATAACTATAATATTCATAAATGTGATGTATCCTAATAATTGTTTTCATAAATTTATTACTCATAAGTGTATTAATTTATCCATATTATTGAAAATCATGATGTATACAGGGTGTTTCTTGTAAGGTGTCAAGCCGAAGGCAGGTGATAGGTGAGAATTAGACCTATCGATTTCACCCCCATGTATGTTCTACGATTTTTCGTAGTTTAGAAGTTATCGTTAATTTTGAGATTTTTTCAAATTTTATGACCTAGTGGCTTAATTTTTTTTTATCCTTTTTTTGGGTTGACTTTTCTCAGATTTCTTTTTTTTTGACAGATTCCCTATTAGTTGCAGATATTTGAAAAAAATAATCACCTTCCTATCTTTGATGCAAGATACAAAATTTTTGCTAGAAACATAAAAAATATGCTTTTAGCAGAACATTCTAAAATTTTCAACTGAAATGTATGAGAAAAAAAAAGAATTTCCATAGGTCCAAAATAATTTTAAAAACTGCGCAGTTTTCTGAGCGATTACAGAAAATAATGGCCTATTAAGTACATGTTTTTTTGTGTTATTATGAAAGTTTAGGAAACTGCGCAGTTTTTAAAATTATTTTGGACCTATGGAAATTCTTATTTTTTCTCATACATTTCAGTTGAAAATTTTAGAATGTTCTGCTAAAAGCATATTTTTTATGTTTCTAGCAAAAATTTTGTATCTTGCATCAAAGATAGAAAGGTGATTATTTTTTTCAAATATCTGCAACTAATAGGGAATCTGTCAAAAAAAAGAAATCTGAGAAAAGTCAACACAAAAAAAAGATAAAAAATAAATTAAGCCACTAGGTCATAAAATTTGAAAAAATCTCAAAATTAACGATAACTTCTAAACTACGAAAAATCGTAGAACATACATGGTGGTGAAATCGATAGGTCTAGTCCTCACCTATCACCTGCCTTCGGCTTGACACCTTACAAGAAACACCCTGTATATTCGTATTAAATCGTATTTTAACATTAAATTAATTTGAAATGGTCCAAAACAGGCAATATTTTGTGCCACAAAACTAACGTGACAGAAACGAATCGCTGCAAAACCGACTCCACGTAGTCTTGTCTGCCCTACCCCTAGAGTGTAATTTAAAAGCCGGAGGCGCGGAGGGAGGGCAGCCCTCGCCCACTGTAACGAGGCTCAGGCGCCCGGGTGAGCTGGAGCGGCTGAGGCTGGTCGCCGAGGCGCCGAAGGCGCCGATGGCGATCCAAAAAGCCGAAGCTGCGGAAGCAAGCGTGGGTGCCTGAGCCTCGTTACGCAAGGGCGGAAGGGCTGCACATCCCGCAGCGCCGGAGACGAGGAGATACCAATGCATGCTGCATGCTTGCTTTCATGCTGCATGCTCTGCATGCTTATCTACTCTATTAAATTATAAATGATTTTTTTAAAGATACGAGTATGTCTGTTATAAAGTAAATTATTCTGAACAACAACATTATGAGTTGAAGTATGTTCTTAGTAACAACATTATTAATTAAAACAATATGATCAATGAATGTTATGAAGAAAAAAGATCTGAAAATAAAAATTATGTATTTTAAATGGTTCTTGGTAGTAACAGTATTGATAAAAAAATTATGATTACTAACTGTTATGAGCTCCGATGGTAGTAATAAAAATGTATGAATAAAAAAAGTATGAAAAATAAAATTATGAAGAGAGATTATTATGAACACAAATCGGTAGTAAGACAAAGAATAGGATTTAGAATTTTATGTGAGCCAATATAGAACCTTATTCCACATATCATTTGGACACAAATTCGGTAATACAAAAACCACGAACGTAGATCAAAATGCCTCTACGTTTTATTCGTTGTTCATCCCGTAGTATATAAACATTGCATAGTTACAAAACTTATATTAGCGGTCGGTGATAGAGATTGATTGGTTCGTAAAAAAGGTAATTGCGGACTAAATAGGCCCATTCTGCTGCGCGTACGCATGCCGATGGAAATGAGCTGACTGAATGTGTCGTAATACTCGTAATCGACTGTTTGTATGTAATCTAACGTACTGGATGTTGATAGGAATCTACATTCAATGAACATGGCAACTGCTGGTAGTTCGCATTCCCGACTACGGTCATTTGTAGTTGCAAATTCAATTCCCGGAGGGAGCCGTGAGGATTTGTGTAGTGACCATTGATATAAATGAAGTTAAGTTAGCAAGCGTTGATATCATATTCAAATTCAAAATATTTATTGCTTACTAAGTCACAATTTGTAATGGTGTAAATTACATATTATTATTAATATACAGGAGCATTCAGTAAGTTATTGATACAAGCGCTTAAGAAAATCTTTTATTGTAGTACCCAACAATGGCTCTACTATGGCCTTGTCGATGGCTCAAAATAATTTATTCACTCTTGAAGTATAATTTAATTAATTTAAATCCGTTTTAAAATTAAGCAATCAATAACGCTAAACAAATAACGAATTACACGTCCCAATACCTCGGAGCGAATAAAATATTCGCGTCACCAAAATGTCGGCAAACGCATCGGTCCGCACACAGCCTGTGTTTATCGTCTGGCGTCGATGTGCAGCGCGCTTGTTTGAAGCAAACACAAAAATCGGGAAGCGAACCGACTGCCCGCGTAAACTGCACTTATTTTATTACATTTTCGCACCGGCTAGTTGGGTTTTAATTGAGTTCTGCCAAAATCAGTTTTTTGTTTCCATAATTAACATTTCAGTACATAATGGCTACATTTTAAACATTTCATTAGTGCCTTATAAGGTGCCTGAACAAAATTAGGTAACCTAATGCTTTTATTTGTTTAAATTCTTATGAAATAAGTTTCAGGCCAAAATAAATGTACACGTCTTATGACTTCAACTTCACGGGACATTCCGTGGCTCTCAGTTTCAAATGAAACAAAACAATCTGCTAAAGTTATAAGTAAGATGTTTATTTGTCTTCTCCTTCGGATAAACATGAAAAAGAAGGAAAATCCTAAAACTGAAAACGTTCCTTTCTTCCAAAATGTGGTTGCCTGAAAAAGTGCTTTCCTGTAACGTAGTCGTCTGAAAATGCGGTAAGTAATTTCTTTCCTGGTAGATAGTGTAGTTTTCCGAAAATGTAATTCCCTGAAAATGGTTGCCTGATATCACTCACCGGCAAAAGGCACATCGCACACGTACTCCTCCACGCAGTTGTCTGTGTTCCCGCTGCGGTCGGTGGCGCCACTGGCCACGGAAGCCGCAGAGGCTGCCCTTAGCAGGCTGACTTCTGTCTCGGTGTAGCTGTCGCGGAGCGCCGACCGCCTTTTGTATTCCTGTGGGAGAAAAGGCCTGTCAACTTTGCGGATGTTTTATGAGCTGGGCCAGATGAGAGCCAAAACATACGATGCGTTGCGGCGGCCGGTCCAACGCCGGAGCTGTGTCGCTGCGTCGTCCCACATAGAAATATCCGTGGCGGGCACACGCGGTGCGGCGCCGCATCGCGCGAAAAATAATATTTACGGTGCACCGTTTTCTTTGGCTCTTTCTTACCCGTGCGTTTTCATAGGTATAGGTAATTTGCGACTGCATTTGGACAGAATGTATGGATCTCTAAGTTATCTTAACATCACACGATTTGAAATGCGCGAGTAAAAATACATTAACTGAAGTTTGATGACGCCCATCGTCGACTCTTGCAGTCTAACACCAGAGGTATGCGACTTCATTTGATATAAAGAACGCGAAATGGCACTCGTTTCGTATTTTAATGAAAATAGTTTATGGGGGTGATTTTTCTTCCTATTAATTTCATAAAATCTATCTTTCTTTATAATTTGAGATTTGATTGAGAATGATGCCCGTGTGATTAGATTACCTACTAGTCTTAGACAAAGTCTTTAAGCATTCAAGTGAAGTTAAAATAATCCTGGCCCTCATTAATTTACGTTCACATAGTGCCAGATCGCAAGTTAAAAAAAAGGCAATTACAAGGTATGTGCAGAGGATACAAAAAGCACATAATATAAACTACAGAAGCAGATTTCTACACTAACAATAGAGAAGGTTCCTACTACTCTTCTAGTCTCAACTGAGACACAAGTAAAATACTTACTTCAAGTAACTTAGATGTTTTCCTCAAGACTGACGCGCATTGAATGTTTCGGTCTTCAACATTGCACGATGCATTCGTGTAGGCGCACAGGTAAATTTAGAATTCGGAAGATCTTTTGAAAGAATACCTAGAGTTTAGCAAGTCTTTGTCTGTATCTGAGTTGGAATCTTATTTTATTAAATTAAATAATTTATTTATTCTTTCGTACACAAATTCATACAAGGTTTAAAAACACGAACTGTACGTGATCTCTACAAAGAAATTTCTTCGAGTATCATGTATGAATTAGTGTAATCTTTCTTTTCATAAAATTAGTTAGCTAGAATTACTAATTTAGTCTTAAAAATGGCAATCAACATTTACTTACTTCACAATAGTTGAGTTTTTTGAGTCGGAGACGGGAAGTCTTGAAACAAGTAAGTACTGAAGGAACAACATACTTACACATTGTGGCTAGTAGCGATGGGGAGATAATAGCCAAATATAGGGTTCAGAGTAATTGAGTTTAGAGTATTTGACATTTACAAGTCAAAGGCAGGCTACATAGAGACACAACTCTAGATTTAACCATAATCATAGATTGCCGGCCAAACCTTCTAAAGAACCTTTTTTTAGAAACTGGCGATTGGGAAGATGAGATGATACCATTAATTTTTAACGCTATCGATCTAATAGGATTTTGTATTCAACGAATTTTAAAAAATTTATTTGACATTTAAAAACGTCTCTACGTCAGCAACTTAACCTCTCCTATGCTTTGTCTCAGATCTGTGCAACCTCTGTCAACTGCTATGTCTCAGATCTAAGACAAGACTACTTTGTCATTTTGAAACATCATTTGAAAACCGTAGCAGTTGGCGGGTGCAGTTTTGCGCGGCTCAATAGCACGCCAAAGGTTAATTATTAAGCACGTGTAACCGGTCAAAAAATAAAACAGTTTTTGACTGCTAATATAAAATACGTAAAAATAACACCTTCCAGTAATATTCGCACACATAATATAGAATAGCACAACTCAAAATAATCCAAAATCGAGTTAATACGGCTATCGGATTCTGCGTCAAAAACTACGTTTACTTTCTGTTCCTGTAAAAAAAATGTTTTGGGTTGTTGTACCACTCTTTCTTGGTGTGCGAATCTACAATCATAAAAAGAAAAAATAAAACCAAAAATACGTCGTAAGTAGTTTATTCCCTTACAAACAAAATAAAATCGCAAATAAATGTGAAGTAACTTAAAACAACTAAAATTAAAACAATATACAAAATTAATGGGAATTTCATACAGCCAATAGCATTTTCGTAAAATTTCAGTCTAATCGTGTCTTTTAAATATTTCTACCAAGAAGTATACATGGAATTATATTTACGTAAACATCAATGTGTATCCTTTAAAACTTAATTAATACTTTTCACAATACCAATTAACTTTAGGAGCCATACTGTCATGTCGGTAAACACTTAACTAGCTAACTTATTTATCTGTAGAGTAAAATAAGCCTACAGAATAAGAGCTGCTTCAAATCAGACGTTTTGAGCCAGATTGCAGGACCGCATATGACAACTGTATTGAAATAAGTGTCAATAACCAACAGTTAAAGCAGTTAACTAATACATAACTGAGTCAACGCCCGAGGAATGGAAGCGGCACGGGAGGGGTGACATTAACATAATAATAATATGACGTGATAGAACATAAAAATCTGAAAGTAATCTGAAGTCTTGCTAACGTTTGAGTTCTCAAAAACACCCTCCCGTGCCGCTTCCATATCTCAGGCCAGTGCCTGTCGTCAGTACGTTCCTGCTCAAAATGTGTAATTTGAATTAGCCTTATTATACAAGACAAAACAAACTTAAATGCTGTAAAATGATCTGCATTTTGAAGAAAATTTTAGATAAATGCATTTAAACGGATAATATTTTATAGGTAACAATATAGACGCATTAAAACTAATTCATAAATCTTACGATAATTTAAATACTTTTTTCACAAAAGGCCTCTCATATAAAGGCCATATTTAATTTGGCCTAGTTATAAACCTTGATAAACCGTTAACCCTTTACAAGTCAGTAGCAACTGTTGTAATATTTTGAACCATATTGCATTACATTAAGGTTCAAAGATGATTAAAAATATACTTGCTCTGACCGTTAAAGGCTTAACGCATCTACAATAAATAGCACCTACTGAAATACTCGAGCTTATTATAAGACAACACAGATACATTTTCAGGTTAAACTTAAAGGATAAATTCTACAGCACCATTAGCATAAACTTATTCTAACTAAGACTAGTTATGCTTTATAAGCTGAAACAAAGAGTTGCCTGCGAAATAAAACAGAATAAACAATTTTCCATGATTTTATAGACTTTTTTAAGGACTCCTACTATAGATCGTTCCATTCACGAAGACACGCCCCACCATTTTTGGTCGAGGGAAGCGCGGGGTGCGGGGAGTTTGATCCGAGTAATCTGAGCGCAATAGGGATGTTTCCTGGGTCAAAAAGCAAGAGTTTTAATTAGTCCGTCAGTTAACTTATCAAAAAATACTCTACACGTATTTTTCACTTTTTCAAACTAATGAAAATTTAAAGAGATAAAGCGCCCCAAAGTTCATAAGAAGAGGCCCGTGACGTCAACGCTTGCTTAAAAATGCCGCACGTTGTGACGTCGTGCGCAACTTTAACGCACCATAACTATGTAATAATTTGTTAGATTGACAAATAAAAATATATGTGTCCAATATTTTTTGATATTAAACATTACGGACTAAAAAAATTTTTTTAGGCAACTAGCCTATTATTGTAGTGTGCGTATGCACTCATGGATAATTTAGCGTGTACCGATAACACTCAAACATTAGCGGGAGAATGGTGGGGCGCGTCTTCGTGGATGGCACGATCGATGCCTACGCGTGATAAGTTGATACGAGGGTCAAAGTAGCGCTGCCTAGCCTAAGAGTGTAGCAAAAATAGTTCGTGACACCCAACGTAGCCATAAAAGTTCGCAACACGTCTTTTTTACAATAGACAATTTGACACCATTCCCCAATAATTCGAAATCACAACTTCTCTAAAAAGACACTTCATTCTGTAATTCATCAATAATTTTAAATTACCTGTAAATTACGATTTTTGGTCGCATTGTAATTGAAAAAAGTAGTTTATTTGAGTTGACAAAATAGTGACGTCACTTGCTTGTAGTGCCATACAAAATCTATGGGAGAGTTTCGTTTTGACAGTTTTAAAAAGTACATCAGTTGATTGGTGGTGTCAACATGTCTATTGGAATAAGGTTGTGTTGTCAACTTTTTGGTAACTTTTTATGTTATGAACTCTTTGACGCTGACTTGTAGTAAAATAACTCTTATTACGATGCCATAAGATGCCAGTGTTGAGCTTGATGTTTTGTTGTCTGTACAATACAGAGAAGTGCAGAAGATGTGAATTTCAACTTATCGCACAAGTATGGAAAAATGGCATCGCTGTAGTACCTTTTCTTGGTTTGTAACAATTTGGCACGAATGTAATGTAAATAACGAACTTCAAATGAACATAGTCTCTATTTCCATATCAATAAGGTCTCAAATCATTGACACGTTTCCTGTCCCCTCACATTGAAGGGTGGCTTTGATACAATTAAATCAGTTTAGCTGTTTTATGCAATAGTGTGCCAACCCACAAAATCATAAATATTGAATTTTAGTTTTTATGTCAAGTTAACTTGAACAATTTTTTTGTAGGTTAACATATTCTTGTACAATACAGCTGTACTTATAATTTTCACCCTACTCTTGCCAATTTGTTCAAAGGAATAATTATGTAACTTGCGTATATTAATATCTTTTCGTATTTTCTGAACTATGTGACCAGTTTAACTAGACAATAATAAGCTAAATCGTACTGAAAGTAACAATTCTCTTTTTGTTTTGCAGACAACTCAATGCTCAGTAAATAATGACGTGACCATTCACATTTGCTGTCAAACTTTCAGGGACTTGTTGGAAAAGTCTTGACAGCAGCTGTCAACGGTCGCGTAACGTGTTAAGGTCTAAAATAACAAATCAAGGGGGCGTGGCCTTTGACAATATTTATGCAATTTATGTTTTACTTGAAAAATGAAAGATAAATATCAACGGCGACGCTCACTTGTTTATTTATAAACACTACAACTACTATACTACGTTTAAAGGCATGTTTTGTACATAATAATATTTACATCAACTATTTACTATGTCACCCTGCGATTTCTTTCTAATTCTTATCTCTTCTACAACCTCCATTATAAGCTGAAATGTTTGAAAACAATATAAAAACAAAATCAAATTAAAATAATTTAAACATTAAGTTTAATTGCCTAGATGAATAATGGTTAGTTTTGATCTAACACAATACATGCAAATACATACGATTTAGGTAAAATGTGTGATAATGTAAAAATTGATAGTGCTAGATACAAATATGAACATTAAATCAAAGTATAAAATAAAATATACAACGTGTCCCAAAATTCAAGGATAAGCCGGCGCCGCAGGATGGACATATTCATGACTACTTTAGGAAAAATAAGAAAAAAAATCTATCTCAATTATTTTTTAAGTTACACAATAAATTATGAAAATCGTCGAAAATTGACACCCCTTATGATATTTTACATTACCACGACCACAATTTTTCAAATACTTCTGTTTTTTTGTTTGTATCGGCAACTTAAGTAGTGTTGCTGTCCTCTCCAATTCTTAAAACCCTCAGAATCCTTGCAGTTTTTACACAAAAGTTAATCAAAATATGATATTTCCTTAAAATTTTGAACGATTTTTACTTTCACTCCACTTTGACTCGTCGTTTTGTAATAAAACAGTATGAACACTATTGCGGCAAGTTTTTTATAAAGTTGCCGCAACTATCCAAGATTCCAAAATGGTATAATACTCTAAGAAAACTAGTCGCAATAAAGATATGCGTACCATTTTTACAAGCACTTCGCTTGTTAGTTAGTATGGGATAAATCTTTCAACTAAATTTAAAACCAGTTCTCCTCAACCAATTGAGCTGAAATTTGGTATACTTATGTAAGTACGATGACATTGCAATATTATGGTATCATTGAGCTGGATGGAGTCTGGAGGTGGCCATAGGAACTTCTAAACGAAACGGCGGAATCGCATCTAGTTTGGGTTCGTTGGATATCTTTTCGAGCACTTTAGTGCTAGATGATGTCCAGGGTCCTGATGATGAAGTCAAGAGGTGGCCAGGAGCTGGCCAAAGGAACTCCTAATCGAAATGGCGGAAGATTATCGAGTTTGGGTTCGTTGGATTTGACTTCCCGAGCACTTGGACCATGAGATTGAGAAACAACTAAAAAGTGTAAAATAAAGTTATAATAAAAAAAAAATTTTTTAAAAACAAGCATTAATGCGAAATTTTACGAAAGAATTTAACGATAAAAATAATTGTATGCAAGGTTCAAATAATTTCGAAAGTTTGTAGCGCAAACAGAAAAAAAGAGGAATAAATTCCATGCGCGATTATAACTTTATTTTAAACTTTTTAGTTGTTTCTCAATCTCATGGCCCAAGTGCCCGAGAAGACAAACCCAACGAACCCAAACTCGATAAGCTTCCACTATTTCGTTTAGGAGTTCCTATGGCCAGCTCCTGGCCACCTCTTGACTTCATCATCAGGATCCTGGACATCATCTAGCACCAAAGTGCTTGAAAAGACAAATCTAACGAACCTAAACTAGATGCAATTCCGCCGTTTCATTTAGAAGTTCCTATGGCCACCTCCAGACTCCATCCAGCTCAATGATACCATAATATTGCATTGTCATCGTACTTACATAAGTATACCAAATTTCAGCTCAATTGGTTGAGGAGAACTGGTTTTAAATTTAGTTGCAAGATTTATCCCATACTACTAACAAGCGAAGTGCTTGTAAAAATGGTACGCATATCTTTTTTGCGACTAGTTTTCTTAGAGTATTATACCATTTTGGAATCTTGGATAGTTGCGTCAACTTTATTATAAACTTGCCGCAGTAGTGTTCATACTGTTTTTTTACAAAACGACGAGTCAAAGTGGAGTGAAAGTAAAAATCGTTTAAAATTTTAAGGAAATATCATATTTTGATTAACTTTTGTGTAAAAACTGCAAGGATTCTGGAGGTTTTAAGAATTGGAGTGGACAGCAGCACTACTTAAGTTGCCAATACAAACAAAAAAACAGAAGTATTTGAAAAATTGTAGTCGTGGTAATGTAAAATATCATAAGGGGTGTCAAATTTCGACGAATTTCATAATTTATTGTGTAACTTAAAAAATAATTGAGATAGATTTTTTTTCTTATTTTTCCTGAAGTAGTCATGACTATGTCTATCCTGCGGCGCCGGCTTATCCTTGAATTTTGGGACACGTTGTATACATGTAAGTAATCTAAGTACACATTATAAGGTGCTTGTTAGTGACATGTTTTGAAAATTATAAACGAAGTGAGGTACATTTTATTAAGTTTTCATGCGCGAATGCTACTGTGCGTGCGTTACAGGTATTAATTGGTACAGTTCTTGCCTATGTGTGTCATATGATGACGGATGTTATGTTTCAAATGGAAATAAATTTCTGAAAAATATGATGGAACATTCTTGATACTTGGGTGGTAAGCATAAACTGTGCCATGCAGTAAGTACAACATGACTAGCGTGTGAATTTATATAAGTAGCGTTTACAACATCAATTATCAGGACTAACCTGACTCAAAGGCCTGATCCTCTCGTGAATGCTATTCTCCGCCTGCTTAGCCGAAGGCGGCGGATGATCAGGCGTCGGCGGCTGCTCATAATGCGACGGAGACAACGGAATCTCGACCCTCGGTCCATCGTAATACCTCTCACAATCGCTCGGACTGTTCATCGACTGATCGTCCAATAGGCTCTCTAAGGAAGACTTCTCTTGGTTCGAGTACTTTCTGACTCTATTGTCGTTCATTCTCGGCTCGTAGTTTTCGTATTGGGGTCCGAAGTTGTTCCTTCTGAGTTTTCGGCGAGGGTTCTGTTCCTTTATGACGACATTTTCGTACATGGCCGTGATGGCGACGGGTTGGGAACGGTTCTTTAGGCTGGGGCGAGGGTTAGGGACTGGGGCGATTCGGGGGGAGTTGTGGTTGTCTTCGTATTCCGAGTAGGATAGCTTGCCGTCGACGTATTGGTCGACTGATCGGCCGTGTTTGAGGTAGTGTTTAGCACCCTGCAACAATAGAAAAGGTTTTGTGATTTTCGCAAGCGTCATTGTCATCTTGAGATAATATAGATCTTCCAACAGGATATTCACTATCTTTGTATTTCACTAAATATCATGATGGGGCCAACAGTTAAATTATCCTTTATCTTCGAAAATCTAAAGCAGAAAGTATGGTGTCTACAGTCACCACTTTAACAAAACTCTGTTTAATAACTTTCATTGGCTAACCACGTGTGTGCAAACTGGCAAAGATCAAAATGAACTAAGGGACCTTAGGACCAAAACAAGGTAAGAGTAGGTGGAAGAAAAGCTGTTCTTTTTTGTTTCTTCGCTCAATTCCTCACTTGCATTTGAATGTCATCGTTATTTGATGGTAGCATCGAAAATGCCAATAATTTTGTTGATGATTTAGGGTGTATTTACCTGTATATCATCCAAGTCGTCCTGACTCCTCGCGTGGGGCCTCAGCTCATAGCTGTACCCAGAGGATGGGGAGTTGGCATGGGTTGGGGACACCGACAGATTCCGACGGGGAGGCTTTTTAGGAGGCGTGGGCTGTGGGCAAAGAAGACAATAGGTTAATACAGTGTAGCATATAAACATATTTTTTTTAAAGGAGAAGACTATTTCTATATCAAACTTAGCTTTAAAGGGAAGGGTTGATATCTAAAGCGAGATTTAGACTAGAAATTTTTTTTTCAGAAATTGATTTTCACTAGCTGTCACCAGTGTGTAAATCTTGCAGAAGTTGTCTTGCCACAGCTATTTACAATGATAAACAGCGTGCGGTAGTCAACTTCTGCAAGTTTTATTGCTAGCCTAAACCTTGCTTAAGGTCTTGTATTAGGCTGGTTTTAGAATCGCGCTGACCGTTCACTGATCGTCGGCGCTGCGCTGACAGATCAATATGTATGTAATTCAAGGGAACGTTCCTGAGTGACAAGTTAGTGAGTACCTTGTTAGTTTTTTGTTTGAACTCTGGACAGAACTTGTTTAGGTGATCCAAGCCAGGAGATTCCCGAAACTTCAACAAGTACGAACTTCACGTATCCCATTCTACATCCCATTCCCATTATACTGATAATATATTAAACCGTATAAGTCCAGATAACAAAGTTAAGGAACAATGTTGTATGATTCCAGCAAATATCTACTTTTAGCTCATCTCATTGTCATCGAGAAGCGAGATAAGTGTCCGCAATTGAGTAATAGGGAATTTGAATGAAGACGAGGATAACTGTGATGTATGGTCCAAGTCATGACAAAAACGTTATATGCTCTTGTAAAAAATGAATAAATAAAGAGAAAATCTATGGACAAGGCCAGCAAAAGTACATTATATCGTCACTGATGGCTTTCGATCCATGAACATCCGTTTAAGTAGGTACAATATTTTTAATCAATATCTTTTTCAAAATAAATAGAAGAGAGAGTTATGATAATATTTTTAAGGTACCAGTTGCATTTACTTTTGCTAGACATACGGAAGCGTGAGAGTTGCCACACTTGCCACTGCATTGGAAAGTCAAAAACTTTTTAAAAATATATTTTCCATAGAGTTCTTGCAATACGGAGTAAATTTGTATACCTTTTTAGGATAGGCCTATATCCAATATGCAAGTGTACTGTAGTAGGCCTAAGATGCGCGCCGCGATAAGCGGTTATCACGCCATTTTATCGATTTTTCCCATACATTTTGACGTCGATAAAAGTTATCACGGCGCGCAGTTTTTCGCTTCAAACTTGGACCCCAAGCTAGCCCAACTGGCCCAAGTGATCTAATACTGGGCCGCGGATGAGGGGCAAATTGCTCGCAGCCGGTCACTGAATGGACAATTTTCTACAGCGGTTAATGGGCTTTTATGATGGAAATTGGCTGGATAGAGGACATTCTCCGCCAATTGCAAATACGGTTATAGAGTATAGTGTTAGTGACTGCTTTACATTTTAATGAACGCTAAAGTTAACATACAATAATGTCTCTTTTAGCCCGAAGTAAAAAGTTGCAAGATATTCCAGACCAAAAAATCATTTTTATAATAGATCAATTGCAACTACCTCTCTATTATTAAGTATGTTAGAAATCATAGATTGAAGTTTCATTCGTCGCAAGTCTTCAACAATTTGTTATTGTTTTTCTTTTTCAAATTATCCTCCCCAATCGATAATCACAGATTAGCGCCCAATCCATGAAGCAAGAAATTTCTTCAGATCTTCGCTTCGAAATTGGAATTCAACTGCAGTGCAGTGCATCAAACGAGAAATCAGCAACACCAGCGGATGTTTCATTAAAACTATGCAAGGAAACGCATTGATCTTCACCAACAAGTGCGTAGTGCGTACACTTCCGTGGCACTCTGCAAACACCCGAGTGCTGATACCGGGGCATCTGTGTTTACCCTGCTGTCTACACGGCCCAGTTTACATTTTTGATGTCGGGCAAAGTGTTTTAAAAGGGCAGTTGGATGAACACGCAAATTCCTAGAGTACGTTTGGTTTGAAACGGTATGAGTACATTACTGTTTGCATTTATTTGTTTACTCTTGGAAAGGGCATTTTTATGTTGGATAACATTAGCTTACTCGCTCACGACTTGGCATATTTTTTACTTCATACAAAAACTGTATGGTCAAACCTAATGCATCAGTATTTGTTTATTTATTTATGTAGTAGAATCAACCCTTTTTGTTTGATCACCTACCGGTGAATAATCTTGTAAACACAAGATTAGTCACTGTAAATTCAATTCAGATTTTTCTTCCTACGTTGCCAGATCAAAGCGGAATATTATCGGCAGCTCTGCTCTGCTCATAATTTAATTTATTGTCCGTGGTGCATAATCTTTTTTAAAGGTTTTAAACCTTTGTTTGTCACCTGTCATCCGCTTTGCAATGGAGGGAAGTCGAACCTTAATTTCGAACTCCTCCTATGTTCTTCTGATTAATTTCGTTGCGGGTCCAATGACAGTTTAACTTTCCCCCGGGACAAACTTGACCTTCATTGGTTGGGTTTTTGTGGCGGTCAAGCTGTAGATCCTGGCTACACAGGAGTTGCAGTGGTGGGAACGAGAGGTGGGAATAGTCCCGTATCGGCAGCTCTAATTCAAAGTAATAAAATCAGCATTTTCTTATCGTATCGAAAGGAACAAAGTATTTGCATGTGCATCACTTTTTTCCTTCGAATTTATTCTTCAATAAGCTAATTATGTTTATTTAATATCTGTAGCACATCAAAGGGACAGATGCGTGCGCGCAGACGTCACGCTGCTGCAGCGCATTAATATGGCGCCAACGTGGTTAAAACGGTTTGTCACTGTACTGGTATAAGTCGATAGCACATCAAACTATAGTTTTCTGTTGCAAAATCGCACCTATTACAACAAACATAAGGAACACATGTTAAGCTTCATATGCCGGCATTTGTACCAGCCATGGTGGCATTACATTGACTGTGACCGATCGGGTTTATTAAATCCAAACTAGTAAATATAGACTGTCTTTGAGCTGAATTGACGTAATTGATGGAATGTTCAGTGATGTTTATACAAACAATTAAAATGATTAATGGTATTCTATTTGGAGAACCGATTCTAATAAGAATTAATCTAAAGTGTTATAGATCAATTGGCATTGTTCCCAGATTCTAACAAATTACATTTATATTGACTGGATTTTAATATTCCTGACAAGAGCTTATTTCTTTCTAATAAACCTAGTGTCACCTAAGATTTCCAAGATAATTTATTAACATAATTTTCATCACCAGTTAAAAGGAGCGATTTCGTATAGATCAACAATGTTTTCATATTAACTAACTAAAATAAATTAAACCCAGTGCACGATCCATTACGCCATTATAGGTTGCTTTCAGCGAGCCCTTTTGACCCACATATTTCCGAAATCGAAATAAGCGTATGCGCAACATTTGTATTGGGAATTTTCAGTAAATTAACCATAGAAGTATCTCAAAATAAGGACTTGATTCCACGGAGGCATCCCGTTTAGTAGTAGACGTGTTTTAATATTAGCGTTCACATGAACACCCCGTTTGCAATGTCTCGCAAAGACAGATCCGTTTACATTTGTAATTTCAAACAATTTTTCGGATTCCTGCATTACTGGATCCCGCAAAAAAGAAGTACGTCATTGAGATAATTTGTCTGCTACACAGGCACGTCAAAGGTTGCTCATACACTTATTTATGACATAATTTATCTTGATAAGACTTATCATACTCTTATCACGATGAATCATGTCATACACAGTTATCTAATCCCATAGAAATATCTCTACAATGTTTATTCATTTCAGCTTTTAATTTCTTTTATTCAGATTTCACATGAATGAAGTTTTGTCTATGCTTTATCGTTCGCAGGGCATCTGCCGTCGGCCAGATGTCCGCCTGTCGCAATATTCGCCTGATTATGTATGTCCATGGGTATATTTACCATGTGTAAGCTTATCGTCAGTAAAATATGAGTAATGGTGGTGCACGAAATATTTTCATCAAGTCAGATGGAAGAAAGTAACCTAATTTTAGTTAGTTTAATTTTATTAAAGAGGAAACAAATATTTGTTCATTCATGTTAACAGATACTGGTAAAGATGCCAAAACAAATTCGGACAAACTATCCAATGAAGCAAAATGTCCGTGAAAACCGAAAGAGAGTGTGACGCCATCAAATACATCGGTGGAAATTCTGCTTGAAAACTAGTAGGCCAGTCGAACGGCCCGCCCACCAGAAGCCCGCTAAACGGCCGTTTTACGCGAATACTCACTGGCCGATCGCCAAACACAGTTCGCCAGCTATTTCCGTGGTCACAACCATTCGCAATGACTTAGGAAGAGCAAACGATCTCCTAACACATCTAGAACGGGGCTTCCTTACCCACTAATTATTTCCTGCTTTGAACTTTATTTACGTCCGTAAATATTGCCCCATTTCGCTTTTACTACGTACGTCATTATACGTTTCTGTAGGATGAAGACAATTGAAAATTCCGTAAGGAGTACTACAAGGATCCACGTTGTGACCAACAAGTTATATGCTCGTTTCATACCAATTATGACCAGTTACAATCAAGAGTGGATAATTAATAATTTAGCCACTCAGCTTATAGACAATTGAATGGCATTCCTGATAAATTGCGTAAGAAAACACACCACAATCAATTTTGATACCAACCGAAAAGCGACGTATATGTCACATTGTTTATCTAACGCGATATTTATGCCAAAAGTTACAACTTTTCCGGCGGAGAAAATACGTGGACATTTCAAAACTTTTTATTCTGCTTCAGAGACTTTATTTCCTTATGTTTCCCATGTTCATTCAAAGTTGCATTTCTTCCAGGGAAGTTTGAATAAAAATAACCTGTCATTACTGTTGGTTTGTTTTTGTAGACTATTGTCCAACGTGTGGCCGCCTAGGGAAATTACGAAACTTCACGAATTAGGTTATTGGGCCCTTGACATGACACTTTTGTATTTATATCACTTTTGTATGTCCGTGACATGTTTAAATGGCTACAGAATTCAAAAGCTTGATATCATGAAACTGAAACTTAAGGTAGTTTGAATGTGATTTACTCTATCAACAACAATTAAGAAATGTCTTACATGTATGGTTCTACAAGATGTTTCTGTAATAAATATGTTTACATAACTAACTCTAATAAATTAGTGCATTCAATATGATAAACTTACATAGATTACGAGAATGTCATCCTTCACTTCACTGTACTACACTCACACTAGTGCACTATGGAAAAACACACATTTTCCAATCACACAAAATCTAACCTAAATCATTTCACCTCACATTCACTTCACTTATCCCTATATTTTTACCTAACAAATATAACTGAGATCGACTGATCAAAAAATTAAGCTCCTATTTTCTATTATAGTCTAACTTACAATCACTTCACGTATTTCGATTGACAAAAGAGATCTATAATGGAACTATAATCGTCAAGAAACGCATGCGTCGATCTCATACGCGCCGAACCGACTGGGCGATGCTTCGGCAAGTATACGCGCATACCACGTGGTACGTACGAGTATACTGCTCCATTTGAAGTCCAAATGTATCCCAAAAAAATTGTGGATTTCTGAGTCAAGGCCACATAATTTATTGTGTTTAGTGCTAATTGCGTACACGCAAATCTGAAATCACGCATATCGTGAAAGTTTTGGTTGATGGATATCCATAATATTATGTCCACAGTCATTTTATGGCTGAAATAGCGTTTAGGTAGTAAAAGCAATGAGTTTTTTTTTTCATTCTCAGTCTAACAACGAGTACTTTATCTTTTCTAAACTAATAAGATTTTAAACTGTCTTCGATTATTTCAACCTCATATCATACAAGAAAGGCTTTTTTTATCAGTCATAAAATTGACCTTATTATAAATTATGCATAATGCTTATTACAATATGCATAACAATCACAATGATACGAAGAAATTGATGTCAGCTAAAGAGTCAGTCAATGCAATTTCAGCAAAAAAATATGTGTGCACACAATTTTAGAACTTTAACTCATTATTGTTAAGGTCTTCACGCTTCTCACGATTGTAGCCTGCTTTTTATTGGAGTTTGTCACACTTTTAATTAACTATGAAATCAAATCTATTTATTTGTATCTTCATAGCTATCTTATTCAATTTAGAACAAAACTATTTCCTTTTATACATTTGCTACGGTTTACAAAAGAGTAGACATTATGGTTTAATTTCGGATATAGTGCAAGTGAAACACTCGCCTGTCTTCGTGGAACTTAGATTAATAAAACCTAGATAGATAGTCAGTGCACGAAAGGTGAGGCAGTTTTTAGGGAGCCGGCACGGCTTACCCGTAAACGTCACATGAACTGTCAAAGTGAAAAATTGGTAAACACGTCCGACGAATTTTAATTATTAAAACGGTTTATGCTGTGAAAGGGTGTCTAAAATACATCAGAAAAACAAAAGAAAGTGACCAGTGTTACATTTCATAAGTAAGTACTACGATTCGACGCGTATTTTGCTTGAATTTGGCTTTCAAAAATTAAATACGGGAATGATACCAGTAACAAGAAAATTTATTTCCCAATTGTTCGCCGTACAAATACACTTCCTTTTTTATGAAATCGAGACTTTTAAGTCGATTTATCTTATTGTTATTAGGTAGGTATTTTGAATTCAATAAATAAGTAAGTACATGATGCGTTTTGTTTTTGTTAATTATAAAATAATTAAAAACGTATTAAAAATTTCCCTACTTTCGGGAAAATCGCCTTCAGTGTCTACACTCCCCAACAAAATTGACACTAATGACATAAGATTTTTGCCTCACTCTTGACGAAGCGTTTGTATGAAGATTATCCATCTAGGTTTTATTAATCTAAGTCGTGGAAATTAATTGCGAAAAGTAAGTTTAGTGAGGACAACTAGTTGATATTAAAATTATATCAAATCGCCAACTAAACATTATGAATATTATGCAAACGATATCCTTGAAAGCCTATTTTACATTACCAAAACGACCGCAAAGCATTTTCATAATGCATTACGTTAATGTACAGCAACAGCACATCAACCTATGACATTCGTTGTAAAATAGCACTCTATTACAACTGAATAGATGTCACAGTATTTACCTTGATGTCTGTCTGTACATTGTTCGACACGGAAAGTAATGTCTGTCGCGAAGCGTGTCAGCGAACGTGACGATAGCGATGTCACCGTGTCACGGCACATCGCGTGACGTTTGACACGCCACACGCGAGCAACAAGTCACTTTGTGCAAGACTTATTTGTATAGATAGATAGAGTCATTCTAGTTTAAAATACAGAAACAAGAGGTGCCAAATAATCGACCAGTAAAAGATTTTTAGATAGTCGATCGACAATATGGATCTTTCTTAGGACAATCGATTATGATTGGCTAGGTAGGTAACCAATATCGATTACCTATAATATTGATTAATTGGTTCATTTTGAACTATTATGCATGCGGCAACATTTACATAAACCACAAGCTAGGAAAATACAGTGTAATTCTGTCGATAACCCAGTGGAATTTCCAAATGCATCGAGTACGAGTACGGCCCGTATTAAGTAAGGGACGTTTTACTGTTGGTATTAAAGCAACAATGTAGTAATAAAAATGACTTCTGTATGGTGTTGCAACAGGACTAATCTCCAAGTAATGTTAATTGACTCGAATACAAATATTTCTCCCACACTAATTAGACATAGCGTTCAATGACAAGGGACAAAGCGCAATAAATTGTACCATTTGTATCAAGAGAGACGATTAGTTGGATAAATGTTATATTTTGTAGTATATTTCTTTCGATAGGATTATTGTTTGGTGAAGGACGTTTGGATAATATGATAGTAGGTAAACATTATTAAATAGGAAAGTTCATGAGCCTAGCTATGTCTGTGTTCAATTTCTAAATTATTCTTTCTTTCTAGCCTAATAGCTTATTAAGTGACTAGCACCAACTTAAGTCTCCTAGCTTAAACCACTAACCTCTTTATGGGAATCGAAGGGCGATTAATTTATTTTTTTAAATATCAATTTTACCCAGAACAGTGGCTTCTGTGAAACTACTAATGATACGTCAAAAGGTATTCATTTCGTGAATTTATAAATAAATCTAAGTAATATCACTCACCGAAACTTTGCTGTACTCGTGATGATGCGCCAGATGGAGCGGCGCACAGCTTGAAGCTGCGCTTGAGACGCTCAGCGCATCGCCCTCGCTGGTGCCCTCCGCCTCGTCCCAGCGCCGCCGCCCCGACCCGCTGCGAACACCCCCGCCCACCCCGCACCCCCGCTCAAGCGAAGCGACAAGCGACACATCCGTATCGACCCTCGGAACACCACTATCATCCCCATCCTCCGACGAAGAACTATCAGAATCATCCACGCTTATCCCACTCTCGAATTTAGAATCGCACGAATCTTTTGACTCCTCCACCAGAGTCGAAAGATCCTCTTCTATTTTATTGTTACCAAATCTGAAGGAATCACTGTGGACCCACGGCCTTTTGGCAGTACTTATTTCAGATTTAACAGTTTCGGTGTCGGATACTTCTTCGTCAGAACGCATAGTCTGGTCCGAATCATCTTCCGATTCCTCGAAACACGTCACGAATGATGCATCCGATTTAATTGTTACGTTCGAATTGCACGACTGCAACGACCAATGACCCGAGTGTTCCGAGCTCGATTTTCGTAGAGGTATATTAGAATCAGAAGCACGAGTTTGGCTGGAGTTTGTCAGTGTTGATTGTAATGAAATAACATCAGTTATATCTTTTATAGAATAAGGGCGACTGGAAGAATTCGATGAAAGAGTGGAAGACGACATTGGGACGTAGTCAGGGCTGTTTGAATCAATAGTATTATTCTGAGCACATTTTTGTCTTGCAACTATGTGTTCTACTGTTACAACTGCATATGGTTCTTCTAAATTCGATGGCACAGATTTGTTTTTTATCATACCAATGTTACGAACTGTCGAAGAAGGAGAATAGTGTAAAGTTATATCTGGTGTAGATATACTTTTTTTGACGGCCGAAAATTTTACGATCAAATTACCAGAATCACGTTTATCTGAATGAAATGCACAGTCATTTGAATCACAGAAGCAACGAAATGATGTTGAATTCATTTCTTTGCTTTTCTTGAGAGCTTCCATATCGATGCTAACGGATTCTTTATCTTTAAGGGGCTGAGCATCGAGTAAATCTTCAGCACTGTTATGATGTTTAGGAGGTTTAGGCCTACAAAAGCAAATTGCTGTTTCTAAATAGCTATCTCTTCTATCATTAGGTACTTTAGTGAACGGTGGCACATCTTTAACGAGAGTATCTCTATTAAATACATAAATAAACTCAGATAATGTAGGTCCACTATAAATACAATGGCCTGTACCTCTAATATGATAGTGAGCCAAAGTATCCTTGAAAAAGGGTAACGCTTTTAACTTAACTGAATTTCTGTCTACTTCAATATTGGTGAATGTTTTATGCCTGAAAAGAACTTTCTTATTCTCTGAAGTTAAGATCTTTTTATTCGGCATAGTACCCGTCATGGATAGATAGATATTTTTATCATTGGAGTCACCACTGCAGTCAACATTTTCTATAGCACTTGTTTCAGTAACATTAGAAGAATCAGAAGAATTTGACGAAGTCCTTGAAACGTTTGATTTCATTGTGCTCATGAATTCCTGAGTATGTCTACTATGTTTAAATGATTTTGACTTTTGTGACAGCAAGACGTCTTCTAAAATAGTTTCATCTATTGATGAATCGGTCGACAAAGTGGACGACCTACTCAAAGTCGAAACGCTTTCATTTCCTATTTCCATTAAAGATGGATATAAAGATCGTTTAGGCGGTTCAGGAGTTTTCCTGTCTTTCAGTAAAGTAATATTTTCATATAATACTTTATTATCTGCTTCTTCTAAAGGTACTTTTGAAGGCAAATGTGTTCTGGCAGCAGGCGTAGGACGGGACATCTGAGAACACGTAGTGACGTTTTCATAAATTGTACTTTCATAGTTTGTGCTGCGCCCAATCATATTTGGCCTAGGTGGTGGTCTCGGAATTGTATCTTCCTTGTCTGAAAATTCATACGCCTCATAGCATTCGTTGACAAAATTTGCGGAATCATTAGAAGTAACTGAAATACGTTTCTTTTCAATACTGATCGGCTTTAGTACATTGCTGTGGGCGTTTAAATTCACAGCTTCATTAATATTATTCGTATCGTCTTTATTTTTATCACAGTCAATTTCAGTCATAACAACAGATTCTGCAATAGATTCTTGCGAATCGCTGTGTTCGTTGTTTTCAGATATATTAGGTAACGATGTCTTAAAACCAGGGCAACTACGATTGCTCCTATTTACAGTCGAATCTCTATTAAGTGTGCTTAACCTATCGAGAGATATAGTATCGAATTCATCGGTACAAACAATTTCTCCCGTTTCTTCCTTTTTCGATAGTTTTTTAAAAAACTTACTATTACCTATTAATAATGTATTTGTACTGCTTTTATGTTCAGAATGTTTGGATTTAACACCGTCTTCCAACTCTTGCGTCAAATTATTGGAAATGTTAGGGGCAGAGTTGAACTTTGCCTTTAGGCCTAAGCATTTAGAAGCAAGCTTTTTCACAAAACTCTGAGATTGATGCTTTGTTAGTTGAGATGATGAGGATGGTGATACAAAGCTTTTAATTTTGTTAGTTATTTCTTGGGTCTCTGGGGCTTTCCTGTAAAACACATAAAGCAACAAAATCGAATAAATCATAAAATAAAAATAAAAAAAAACTAAATTATTGATATGCTGGGTTAGTAGGAAATCACTATACCACCACCACAAGTAACATTAAGTATGAAGGAAGATTTTTATATTTGCCAGTCAGTGAATAATAATTTTACTTGATCAATTTTCTTTTTGAACACTGTCAGTTTCCTGGAGAGAGATTGTCTTCTATTATCTGTTGGTGTGTCGGGAGCCGCTTCATTAAAGGGTCTAAAAACTACACCTCCCTTAAAGATTTCATCGTCAGTTTCTGGTTTTTCAACTTTTTGTGTATTATTGGCAGAACATCGTTCTTTTGTGATATGAACATAGATATCCTCACAACTATAAAAAATTAACTGGCTAGAATCTACTTCCTTTCTCTTAGCTCGTTTAGGAATTTTGGGTGAAAATCCATCGTATCCAGGGCAAATACAAGGGATTGAGTTAGCCCGTTCTTTCTTTTTAACAAAGGGATGTGCGTTAGTTTTGTGTTGAAGCTCAGGATTTAGTTCGTAATGGTAAATATAATCTAATGATTCATACATGCAACCACTATCACCTTTGAGATGAATACTAGCACACGGTTTTGTAATATTTGGTATAGACCTTCGAAAGCGATTATGTCTCTTGTAATGATCCATGCAAACATACATTTCACTATATAAACTGTCTGTTTTATTATTAAATACTTCAGAGAAGCCTTTTTTTCTAGGATTTTCTTTATTTTGTCTATTGCGAATCATTTTATCGTCATTGAGATCAGATTTGAACTCTGTTTGTTCACGCGTTTGTATATTAAAAGGTTTCGGAGGCAAAGATGGCACACGATCCATTGGTGCATACATTTCTTCGAAGCACGGATTATTTGTTTTTACTTTATTGCCTTTATCATCATCAAATACGTCATGTAAAAGTTTTTTTGGAGAAACGTTACCCATTTCCTCATACATATCTTCAGAGAATGGATTTATTTTTTTTACTTTCTCATCGTCGGGAAGATTGATTGTAGTATTCAAAGACACGGAATCTGAAAATTTCCGAACCGGTTCATTTTTGTTGGGTGATAACTGTGTATCTATGCAATTTAATGAAGAGCTTTCTTTTAATCGGAACTTACATTTTATTTCTTCCACCATCATTTGTTGGGGTGTAGCTACGGTTGGCTTAGGTGGCACCGGTGGTTTAAGTTTTTTACTTAAGCTACAGCTGGACTCGGAAATTTTTATGCTGGGGATATTAACATATTCCTCATCTTGTTCGTTCTCCAATAAATCATCTTGTCTCTCTTTGACGTCTAGATTGCTGCAACTCTCAACATCATCATACAACTGATAACCATTTGGATCGTTAACTTCATGTGTCCCTTCTACATTAGTATATTCTGGGGTAGAACAAATTGGATCTTTAACTTCATGTATCATATCTACATTATTATAGTATTTTGGGCAAGATCCAAACGTAAATGACCTGTCCCGAATTATTTTTTGTTGTTCTAAAACATCATTTTTGAACGATGGTGATAAAGTACAGTAATTTCTGTCTAGTTTTGCGTTAGATACTTTTTTGTAATCGCCAAAATTTATGTTAGTTAAAGAAGCATCATTATTAGAGCTAAGCGTACAACCAGCACCGTCAACTACTTCATTAGACCTGTAAATTTAAATTTGACATCTAAATTAACACGAAAATTATTAGTAGGATTGTTTAAGTAAGCTGTTTTATTGTTTTTAGATTTTGATATCTTCAGTATTACTTGAGACTATTTATAATTTGCGAGGACTCTCACGCTGGGTCTTTTGCCCGCCATCAAAGGGCAGAGCCGCGGGAATCTTTATCCCGAGCAATGGAAGCAACCCGCCTGGACTTTTCTAGACAAAATCAAAGGTACGGAAAATTTTAATGAGGTTCCCGCATTCAAGGTTTTGTTTTGCATCTGTCCCACAAGAAAACTTATGCGGAGCAATTTGTATTACAATAAGTCGTTTCATCTGTAATTTGTCGGTGTATTTACTAAACGAATGGATTGTATTTTTTTGTTATATTCTACATGTCTGGCTATACTTTTATTTAGTCTACCAACAATTGATACACAGCTCAAAATACTTAGTTTGAGTGTACAAACATAGAAATAAATAAATTTTTTAATAAAAAATAATATTATAATTCCGCATGGGACGCAAGTATAATATTAATTTGCACACTAATTACGTCCCCATCAGTTAGCTCGCTCGAGTACATTTTATTTCGTCCATTCCGTAGTCGCGAGTGTCTTTTGTAGCTCTCAAAATGAATCCCGAAACGTGAAAAGAGCATTTTCAAGATAGCAATCGGAGTTCAAAGGTGGAGACACGGCGTGTGTCGTAATTGAGACGGCTCTCCAATTAAAAGCAAATGTTTAGGGCCCCAGAACTGAGGATCTGAGTATCAGAGTAATTACAGACCTTTGCGGCGCGCCCGCTTAGACGTGGCTCTAAGCCATCTTCACAATTCAACGAACATTTTTAAATAAAGTCAAAGGGGGCATCCCTTTCATGTTGGCGTTTTGTTAGTGTTTAAAAAGCGGTGAAATAATAGTGAGTTTTACCGAATGCCCCGGGTGAATTGTTATGGATAGAGTGTATTGTAGGTGCATTTTTACGTTACTTATTAGAAGGCTATAACAAATTATTAAAGTACAAAACGTAAAGTAAAAATACACATACTAACAGTAAAATAAATGAAACAAATTGAAAAGGATTAAAAATAAGTTAAATATCATCACTGTGATTGTGTGAAATGCGTGTTTCTAAAGATGATAATTACAGTGGAATTAATTTCAATTGACCTTACAATAATACCATTGTTAAAGATTCACTGCAGGTTCATAAAGCAAAAACGCTGTTTGTTCGCCTCTCTCTGTTCTATACAACTTGTAATAATTTAGTTTTAAATTACGGGTTTATAACCTGCAGTGGACCTTTACAACAAACATGGTGTCCTTTAAGCTTCAACAGTATGTCCACTTCCATTAATGATGCGTTCTCAAATCATTGCACTAAACTTCTCAAGATCAAAAGGACATCATGTTTGTTCAAACCTGAACCTTATTACAATAGCAGTAAGACTTACACCATGCTGGGCAGCGGGTAGCCGGTGGGACTGTAGTCTTGTACAGGGAAGGGTGGCAACTCTTCCTCGCTTTCGTAGGTTATTCTCGAGTGGTTCTCGAATTCTGTATGAAAATTAATTAGAATTTTAATGATTTAGGCTCCTTTTAACCTTTAATAAGGTAGAGCCAGTCAACATAATTCGCAGTTTTTAAGACTAGGGAATAAAGTTAAAAATATGGGTTAAGAAACGTGGCTCAAAATCTTTCAAAAGCCTGTAGGAAGAAAGGAGTGACGTCTGAACATTTACATTTAACCAAATCTTTAATGTAGTTTTCTACTTTAGCCTTGTTTAAAATACGGGTCCCAAGTGACGCATGTTGAATTGTTGAGTTATATGCTTGGACGAATAAACCACTGGACGCGTAACGAGTGACGTTTTCGTCTTTACCCCGCTAGCACTTACCATGGCTAAATTAGCCATGGTAAATGTTGTCAGGTTGTCACTTTGTCAGTATGACGCCAGCTCTCGAAGAGTAAAAATATCACGAAAAATGGGTAAATGCGCCGTACTTTATTGCAAAAATTATTCCTGTCACACAAGAAATGTTTCTTATCACGCGTAAGTACATTTTAAATCTATTATAGTAGCTATTTTTTCGTAAAATAAATAAAATTTGATATGTAAATAAAATATGATTACGTCATTTTAAAAAGTACTCATTGTACATGTAAATGCTTAAAACATGTAGCATATTTAATTTGGTTGGATTATAGGTTTCATTTATTCATTCACCACATCTCATTTTTTATGACGTAAAGGGCTTGAAAAATGTCGATAAGTTTATCGATATACCAAACTGAAACTGAAATTATTCAAATTAATTTTAGATTTTGATAGATTTTTTTGTTTTGATAATTTTAGTCACATGAAACAAAAGATTATGAGATAGACATAGATGGAACATACAAAACAAGCACACCAGTAAATGTAAGTAATAATTACACCTTTTTTGAAATATGTTGTACATCAAAATACTGGTCAAATTTGAATAAAATATTTTTGATGTTGATTGATTTTTTGGCTTTATTTTAGTCACATGAAACAAAAGATGATGAGATCCACACAGATGGAACATACAATTTAAACTTTTCATTGCATCTAAATATTAATAATGTCATCACAAAAATACGCCAAATGACTACAATTATTATTTTTTATTTCATTAACAGGTTTTATTTTCGGTATGCAATACCGAGGTGGAACCTTTTAGATCTGTGTCATCCCCTCACGTTTAGTGAAATACCGGGGTGGTTGGAACTTGATTTGGTCCATCCTGTCATCAACTGTTTTTCAATGGGACGACTTCTGAACATCAGAGAGATCTTGACTGTCAAGATACGTGAATTAGGCCACTGAACTTTTCAAAACAAAACCAACACAGGTGAAATATCTGAGCATCTCCCTTGACAATAAATTGAACTGGGCAAGTCATATCGACAACATGCATAGTGCCTAGCAAACATAGCGGCCATGGGTTGTATGAGAACCACTCTATCGGCATCACTTGACTTCTTTCTGAATCTCAGACATTTAGACCTCATTATTCAGGAGGAAGCACAAGCACCCACTCTAAGACTTAAAGGAAACGATCTATGAAAGCAAAACAAGGAGACAGGATATTCCGCGATTCTGCACAAAACTCTAAAAGAAATACCCCTCATCAACAGTATAGGTACCCTGTGTACACATCTTCGACCAAAGATAATATCCAGCTTACAGCGGAAACGCGAAATTGCTCTGGAATCAATGAAGTTAGGATATACCGACGTCTTCAAAACTGAAATAAGTACTAGGAGGTCTTCTCGAATGACCTAAACATAAGAATATCAACAACATTAGATAAGAATTAAATATTCTCAGATAGTGCATCCGTACTGCAAGCGCTACAAAGCAATACATTGTCATAATGTTATCAAATTGTGTTTCATGAAATGTATAGAAATAGGCTATTGATGAAACTTTTGTCCGTGACGTGAGACAGATTATAACATTTGTTGAGACCAAAAACTAGTTAGCAGTCGATCGTAATTAAAGAAACTTTCAATATTAAATCAATCCATAATTCATTTATCTCGTAAGGTTCATTCATTCATTCATTTACATAACTATCGATAAAAAATTACGATCTTTTCGCAGCACTAAATGTCATTAATTGACAATTGTCAAACCTCTCCCCCCGCAAAAAGTGGTTGATCGTGTTTCCTTAGAAATCTTGTAGGTTTCGTGTCCAGTGGTTTATTCGTCCAAGGTTATATGTCTACTAAAATAACAGGAATTTAACTCTTCTTTTTCTTTTAAATTACGTACTATTTTCTACAAGAACTTATTCTTTTTATAACACGACAGCATCATTTAATTTTCTGCACATCCTGAAATTGATGATGATTTAAAATCATCACTTTAACAAATTGAACTAACAACAAAAAATGAACATTACCATTATTCTTGTCATTTTCCTTGTTTACCAGCTTGTGGTATATTTTAGCCATCACGTCACAATACACTGACACAATTTTAACTCCCAAGTTAAATATGTAGACTAAAACTTTTACAACCAACAAAATACGTACACTCTGGTAGACAGTCACTATGCTTATAATTTTTCAAATAAACAAAGTCAAAATGCTTTCAACGCAAACGCGTCGGGTTTTCACAGTATTCCAAACACACTAAGGTCTATTCTGATTCATCGGAAATTTCAACAAAATTCGCAAACGGGTACGACCGGTTTCGTGAATGCGGGCACCACAACACAAAGGTGAGAGCAAACTAAACAGCTGCGAATAACAGATTCGCTTATCTGGTTGATAAGGTTAGATAATTTAGCTTTTTATACACTATTCGTCATGCTAGAAAAACCACATGTAAACAGTCGGTGAGGTCATTGAAATGTAAATATTTTATGATAATTTATCAGTTTATTATCGTAAATGTTTCTAATTGGTCTGTGGTAAAACCAGAAAACAAAATTGACCATTAATTAAATGTTTCGAGTCATCAATCAATGTTGCAGAGCAGAGACATAAAAATACTGTTATAAAACTTGTAATAGGCATCAGTAGACTATGAAGTTCCGACAATCTTACCGGTTGAAAGGCTACTTCCAATTTTTTAAGTCACCCCTTTTCTGTCCATGACATTGAGCTTAAGGAAATATTATGTGACAGTGACGAGAGGATGCGCTTATTTCTTTTGACCCTCCTGACCTTCCTCCTGGCCTCTTCCGAATAATCGGCGAGTAGATCGTGCTCAGTCATCCCTCTTCTGTCTGTGTCTGTTGGCCAAGAGGATGCGGACCACTGTCGCTTTTCAGAAGTATCTACATACTTCTGGAAGACAAAAGTGGTCTGTTATCCCTGGTTTACACCAGGGATAGCTCAGGAAATGGTAATGAGCAGATGCACTCAGCTCTTATGACCCTTCTGACCTTCCTCGTGGCCTCTTCCGAATAGTCAACGAGAAGGTCGTGCACGGTCATCCCTCTTCTGTCTGTTGCGTTCAGGTCAGCCCCGTTGACCAAGAGGATGCGGACCACTGAGTCCTTTCCGAAACCATATAGACCTAGGAAAGCTTAGGCAATTAAGAGAAGACTCACCTCTAATGACCCTTCTGACCTTCCTCGTGGCCTCTTCCGAATAGTCAACGAGAAGGTCGTGCACGGTCATCCCTCTTCTGTCTGTTGCGTTCAGGTCAGCCCCGTTGACCAAGAGGATGCGGACCACTGAGTCCTTTCCGAAACCATATAGACCTAGGAAAGCTTAGGTAATTAAGAGAAGACTCACCTCTAATGACCCTTCTGACCTTCCTCGTGGCCTCTTCGGAATAATCAGCGAGGAGGTCGTGCACGGTCATCCCTCTTCTGTCTGTAGCGTTCAGGTCAGCCCCATTGGCCAAGAGGATGCGGACCATTGACGCCTTTTGGAAGCACATAGACTAGGGAAAGCTTGGGAAATTGTAAGAAGCAGGTGCACTCACCTCTTATGACCCTTCTGACCTTCCTCGTGGCCTCTTCGGAGTAGTCAGCCAGAAGGTCGTGCACGGTCATCCCTCTTCTGTCTGTAGCGTTCAGGTCAGCCCCATTGGCCAAGAGGATGCGGACCACTGAGGCCTTACGGAAGCATGCAGCCTCATGGAGCGGGGTCCCGTTGTGCGTGCGAATGTTTGGGTCTATACCGGCAGCTAGGAGTGCTTGGACCACCTCCCTGTGAAAAGATGAGGGTCTAAAATATCTTCCTATAAGAAAAGCGAGATATTCCGGCACATCAGAACATTTTCGCAACAAAATCACACCTATCACAGTTACATTAATTAATTATTAAGATGTGCCAATGGGACATGCCATCGTCCATACTGTTCAATGAAAACATGTTCTTTTTTTGTTAGTTTTTAGAAGATGAAGGTTCAAAAACATTAGGGCATTTTAGTTACTTTAAAAGTGTTGTCAGTTATAGAGAAATCACAGCGCCGTGTTCAATATTACTTTCCATAAAAAGCAACCATTACAATCCACTAACAGATATACAAATTTTGTTTCGCTCGTGAAAGACAGTTTATACACAAAAGCGCAGATTAAATTAATACATGTCTTTTATATTTACAACCATTTCAAATGATCACAAACAGCGACACATAAACACGGCATGTATAGCACCGGATTATCAGCGGTCGGCGTCGAGTGATTCACGCATTCATATGCATGACGCTAACGAGCCAACGGGGTTCGATTTGTTGTCTTCATTTACACGGAAATATAGGTTCAAACCGCAGTATTTTCAAGTCATTGTGTAAAATGAAATTGACTGACATAGGTTAGTGAAAGTAAAATATTTGTATATCATGTAAATAAATGAAGGGGTATTGAAATGTGTCGAATAACAAAAATTAAGGGTAGCCAATGTCTTTGTAGCTCAGTGGTAAGAGCAGTCGCAACTGCTGCAGTCGTCGAAATCAAATCCGAACAGTTGATTCTTTCAAGCAAAAATTATTAGCATTAAAATGATAATCCAAAAACATTAAGGTATTTTGAGACCACTGTTACTTGTTGCCTTATAGTAAAGTTTCTACTCCAAATTAGATTAATAAGCCGATTTTAATATCAAGAAATACAGACCTTGAAATAGGTATTTGTTAGGATTTGTTCCACTTGAAACAATAATCTAACATACTTAAAGCATAGTGTAACATAAACATTCGCGAGTTAAGAAGCATGTGCGAATATTTATGTGTTTATTTTGAAACACTTTAATCCTTCATAACATCTTGAAATTATGAGGGTCGAATTAAACCCACGATTTCTCATACCACATTCCGGAAATAAGTAGGAACATTATTATACAAAACAAATAAATGGACAGAAACTTACACCTTACCCTTTTTGGGTATAAATCGTTTACAAAATATTACAATTCGTATTATTGATAAAAGTTATTTTTGTCGACGTTTCAGTATTTTGGAAAACAGAAATTGCCTGCAAACTTGGCTGATTAACTCTAAATTATAATGGCATCCTAATAAGAAGTTCGCGCATGTCTCAAGTTATAAGCTACATCTAAAATTCTGTCTGAGAAAAATATCTCTACATATTACATATTTTTAAAGATTCAGGAATACAACCTTAAATATGACTTCAGCCAAACAAAATAATAGATAATATCTGTTGTCTAGAAGAGATCGCCTCTTAGCGATAAGACAGCCTAATCGGTTTCCATTGTATATTCCTTTCCTTTTATTCATTCGTCAGTTGTTTTGTGGTATTATGTGGCAATAATGAGTATCTATCTGGCGAGGGCTCAGAGGCCATACTTTGCCCTCTCATCTTGATACAGTCTATAAATTGTCAGAAACAAATACGAGGGCTGCACTAAAAGTATCGGGAATGGAATATTTCCACTGTTCCAGTCATATTAAAATCTATTTAATTGCAAAGTCCAGGGTTTTAAAAATCGTATACCATTTATTTATTTAAAAAAAGATTCTCGGTCGTATCACAAGGTCTTGTCAAACTTGTTTAGTCGTTGAGAAAATGGAATTGACTCGAGAAAATTCAAGAGCGATGATTTATTATGACTTTTGAAGTGGTTTAACACAAAAACAGTGTGTTGACCGGATGATTTCTGCATTTGGTAATGAAGCCCCATCCAAAACCACAATTTATCGCTAGTTTCCTGAATTTCAACGTGGACGTGTCAAGCTCAGTGATGATCCCCGTCAAGGTCGTCCAAAAACTGCAGTCACCTAAGAAAACGTTGATGCTGTGCGTAAGCTGATTGAAGAAGATCGACATGTGATATACCGCGAAATTCAGGCAACTTTAGACATTGGCATGAGTCAAATACAAATAATCTTGCATGAACAATTAGGTGTAAAAAAGTTGTTTTCCCGATGGATACCGCATTCGCTCTGTGAAGAGCAAAAAGCAGCTCGCGTTACTTGGTGCGTCAGAACTCTCGGGAGATTACATGCAGGATCCTCAAATGCTGTATACAACATCGTATCAGGTGACGAATCATGGATATACGCGTACGAACCCGAAACAAAAAACCAGTCACGAGTTTGGGTGTTCGAAAATGAATTAAAGCCAACAAAAATTGTTCGTTCACGGAGTGTTGCAAAAAAAATGGTGGCCACGTTTGTCTCCAAAACCGGCCATGTTGCGACTATTCCTCTTGGGGGACAAAGAACGGTTAATGCAGATTAGTATGCTAGCATTTGTTTGCCACAGGTCGTTTCTGAACTCCGTAAAGAGAACTGCAACCGCCGCATCATCCTCCATCACGACAATGCGAGTTCTCACACCGCGCACTGAACAAAAGAGTTTTTAGAGCAAGAAAACATAGAATTATTAGTCCATCCGCCGTACAGCCCCGACCTAAGCCCTAATGATTTCTATACTTTCCCTAAAATAAAGAATAAATTGCGTGGTCAGAGATTTTCATCACCTGAAGAAGCTGTGGAAGCCTACAAAACGGCCATTTTGGAGACCCAAACTTCCGAATGCAATGGTTGCTTCAATGATTGGTTTCGTGTATGGAAAAATGTGTCAAATTTCGCGGAGAATACTTTAAAAAGCAATAAATACATTTTTAAATAGTAATGTTGTTTCACTTCCTTGATTCCCGAAATTTTCAGTGCCGCCCTCGTATGCAGCCAAAGACAGAGCAATATGTCACAAACAAGTTCTCAGAACCAAATCCATATCCCTATAATCCCAATAAAGAAAACTTTTCTCATCTACCCAAATTATATTCATAGCCCCCGCCATTTCCTATGGCTTGTGACGTCACGCATCAAGGCAGCCGCCACGCGTCACGCCGCCAATTTAACCCTTCGGTAGCGCGCGGAAAATTGACACAAACATTCGCGTCTGATCGGAGAAACACCGGATACGGTAAACGACATGCACTGACGTCGTCAGGTTAACGGATCGATAATGAAGCGGTAAAGTAAGGAGTTTTGTTCCGTTTCGATGTGTAAATTAAGAAGCTTACGCATAAAATGGTTTTTAAATTGTGACATTGATACAGTCCGAGTGATTCAGAGTAAAAATTGTCTGAAATGGATAAATGTCTCTAAAAAAAATTATACTGGACTGGTCCCTTCTTGCTTGGTATTGACTTGAGTCGTCACTTATGCTCATTTTCACCATCAATCCCAAATGTTTAAGTGACCCCTATGAAAACAAAACTCCTGTTATGTGTTACCATAGCGATCACTTATAAATTAGGGATTGATGATGAAAACGGGCATTAACTTCTTAACCACTGAGGCTTAAAAAGTTGGGTCTTCCGAAGGTCCCACAGACGCTACATCCATCAAATAACAATCGCCGTATCCACAACAACATTTCTCACTTCGCTACAGCCGTAGTAGCAATTTCGTAGGCATGGTACCTATTGGGGCGTCATAACGAACGAATGAATATGAATATGAGTCGATTGGAGCGCGAGCACGCCTTACATTAGCATAAAATAATAACGTGTACACTGGAAGGTAGCGGATTCTTATGTCGTAATTGAAGGAGAATTGCTTCATTGACTGTATTCGACGATTCGGCGAGGTTAATAAATGACGAAAACCTACTAATCTAAATTAGAGACAATACTGTATGCGGGTTTTTTTAAAAACCCGCATACATTACCCGTATAGTCAACTTATTCTATTCTCGTTTTACTGAAAACCTAAGCCAGTTTTCACCATCAATACCTAATTTTTAAGTGACTATGAAAACAAAATTCCTGTTATGTGTTACCATACCATAGGGGTCACTTAAAAGTTAGGGATTGATGGTGAAAACGGGCACTATTCTCACAATTTCTGATAACAACAGTCTATTACAGTGCTTCCCACAAAAACAACACAAAACATGATCCCCTGCTTTATTCATCCAGAATCCAGCCGCTGCCAAATCTACTTGAAATCGTCGATTCTACACTCCCCAAGCTGGTTAGATGGGTTAAGAACTACTGAAGTTCGCATTTCGTCTTTTCAACCGACTTCAAAAAAGGAGGGGGTTCTCAATTCGACCCGTATGTTTTTTTTTTTTTTCTATGTTTGTTACGCGATAACTCCGCCAATTATGAACCGATTTGAACAAATCTTTTTTCGGCGTATAGGTAATACCTCAAGGGTGGTCCCATTTAAATTTAATAATAGAAAAAACAACCCCCAAGGGTGGAAAATTGGGGATGAACTTTTTTATACGCAATATCTCCGCCGATTATAAATCAATTTGAACGATTATTTTTTTGTTGAATAGGTATTATCAAAAGGGTGGTTTCATGCGAATTTGAAGAAAATATTTCACCCCTAAGGGTGGAAAATTGGGGATGAACTTTTTTATACGCAATATTTTTAATTTTTAGTTTTTTTTGTGTTCACGTATTTGAAGTCGGTTTTATTTTTTTTAAAGGTAATTATATAGATCCAGTGCCTCAGTCAGTGCCTGAGGAATGGATTCGACGAGGGAGTGTGTTTTTGTAACGTCAAACTTCAGCGAGGCTTCAGATCTCCTTCAGAATTATATGCTATGTCACGTCATAATATGTCAATGTCACCCCTGCCGTGCCGCTTCCATACCTCAAGCAATGTTGAGTTAAGCGTTAGATCTATAGTCGCTTCTACGACATCCCCGAAGTGATCAAAGATTAGTGATGTGCCTATTTCACTCCGCTGGAACCACAAGGCTTAAGAGCGCTTTTATATTAGGGCGTTAGAAACGCGACAGCAGCGTTTTTATAACGTGAAGGCATGCATCCGCTGTCACATAGTATGAAATTTTCGGCAGCTCGTCTGTCGAGTGTTTGTAGCGCTGCTAAAACGCCTAAATGTGAAAACGCTCTAATTGAGCCACATTATCACTTACTTGCGACCGTTCTTGCTGGCTCGATGAAGGGGAGTGGAGGAAAACAACTTCGTGCGACACTTTGGAGGCTTGTATGGGTCCACCAGTTGAGGCATCACGCGGAGTAGGTGCTGGACTGTCTCCAACCTTGAGACAATGGAGTAAGGTTTAATATGGTTTATCAGATCAAATTTAGAACGCTAAGATTCATCCAGGAGATCAATTAAGTTACATCTGACCAGCAGTGTCTGTAGGCTAAGCAATGCTACAGCATATAAATATTACGAGATATCACTAAACGACACAACCCTGGATTTTCCAGAAAGTCTTACTCAAAAATGTATGAAATCATCTTTTGAAGTCATAATAATAAATGAGTTGAACCCATGGTTTGTTTTAAATTTCAATGTACACAGTCACACACGACTGAGAAATGGTAGTTGAATAATACTAAATAGATCTACGAGGACTACGAGTATGCTTCATTGATAAATATTATAATTTATATTAATGACATTACAATACGACCTCATTTATTACAGTACCTACCTAGATAATACACCAAGGTTGCTTCAATTCATTGCGCAAACTCATATCTTTTTACGTGCATATCTTCAAGGATACTCCAAAGTCCTTTTCCTAAGCCATTAAATTATGTTTAAGTGACTTTAATGTTCAGAATGTTGCCTCGTCCCACGTATAAACAAGTATTACTTACTTTACATAAGCAAACTATGTTCCAGGTAGGGCGAAAGCGAGCAATGCTGGCATACTTGGAATTGTTGCATAATAATTTTAGGCATTTTGTAGGAACTAGAACGACGATAAAGTTTGTATACCTATAGGATAAATTTTACAAAATAAATAAAGTAAAAGGTATTTTAAAAGGTCCTTACTAGGCTTACGACACGGTATGCCGTTGCTGTATTGTAAAAAATCTAATGGTTATCTTAGACAGGCTTCAATAAGTTTGCAATAATACCATAGAAAAAAGTTCGTTTGATTCAGCCAAATGACGTCCACTGCTGGACAAAAGTGTACCCCAAGGGTTTCCACAACGACCGGTCCTACACTGCGGTACTTCCCGCGACTTTCACCATATCGTTTATCCCCCTAGTAGGCCAAAACGACCACCATAAAAGTAAGCAAATAAAATGTGATAGAAAAAACAAACATATTATAATTATCTTACCTATATCCCTAACTCACAACTCCAACCACCAGTGTCTCAAACGTACAAATTCAAGTCCACTTACATTAAATGCAATTATTTAAGTGGTTATTACATACAAACTATTCCGCCAAAGTTGAGCATCTAACGTTGAGAGCAAGTAAAGCAACATGCTAACGAAATTCTCTTTCAAGTACCAGCGTTAAGTAGCAGCGTTTCTTGCACTACTTCTCTTCGCCGACCGATAAATTGTCATAGCGTTACTTGCCCTAGAAATGTAATATTTGGGACTTATAAGTACCCTGAAAAGGGTCTTTAAGATAGACTCACATGACCATTTTAAGGTTCTAAACTTATTTTAAATTACTAAAACAATGATAGCCATTATTACCACAATCTGCTATTAATTGATGCCGGTACTATCATTATTGTGAAAAACTATACAGTAAGTATTTACCTTTACAGGTCAATTCAACCGATAAACCGACCCATTTAAAAGAACAATTTCTAGACCTCTCACAAGACCATTAGCAGACATTGAGAGATATCAAAAGGTCCTTTATGCTGGCAACATCCTGTCGTTGACATCATTCTTAACAGGGCAACACTCTTTAATGTGTTTTAAAATACTCTGGGGGCTTAGAATAAATAGACATAAGGTTACACGTGGGCGGTACCTTTTGGTCGTTAAGAAATGTGGCCCTAAAATTATAGAAAAAAAAACATATTCCATGCTGTAAAGAGGAAAGATTTGCATTTTTGTACGTTTGTAACGAATTAACTCAAAAACTACTGGACCGATTTCATTAATTCTTTTACTATTAGATAGCTACATTTTTACGGAATAACATAGGCTGCAGCTATAGCAGAATGGAATTCACGCGGGCCTAGCCGCAGGCAAAAACTGTACACGTTGATATAATAGTACAATAACTTACAGGGCAGATAAGTACCATCCTAGACTGCATCCCACATTCCCACTTAACACCAGGTGCGATTGTGGTCAAATACCTGCCTCATTATGCATAAAAAAAATCTTGCAGTAAGGTTCATTGTTGTCTTAACTTGATTAATTTGTTAAAACCTTTCTGAGGCCTTTGATCTGAAACTTATACATATTTACTTGAAGGCTAGCATGGGATACTTTTTAGACATGTAGTAACTATATTCCGAGTCAGTTTGAGAATTTAAAGTTTCTAAGTTGGAGTACTTAGTGGAATATAGTCAAGTAGCCAGCTTTAGAACTAAGTTATGATTTAGTTTGAGGGTCCGTCTGGCAAGTCTTCGCAAATTAGCGTACGCATCTGTGAGTAATGGAGGTTTGTTGAATATTTTTCAACCACTTTCAGAAACTTTTACAGCTGCTTTAGTTGAATATCCAAATTTTTGTAAGAATGTAACGAGTTCAAGATACTATTTTAATTTTTTAAAGATGGTAAAAGGCTTGAAACTATGGTCACAACTTTATTGCCATTACCATGTAAAGTAAGACCAGTCCCAAACAATATCAAAACCTTTCATATTGGTGGTGGTGAAGGTTGAGAAAAACTTCTGGATCGGGCGGGCAGCACAAGAGTGGCCGTTGCTTCAAAAACCCTTGAATAATGTAATTGTATAGCATTGGAAATTTTCCGTCGAAAAGGAAGCATACAACAACAACTGTTAATATCTAAACTTTAGAGGATGCTTGCTTATGTTTAGCAGTGAACGTCCTGTGGCTGAAATGATGTTGATGATCGAAACTTTCATTACAAACTCACCTCCCATACTGCGCTGCGAGGTCCAAAGCGCTTTCGTCTCTGATGTTTCTGATGGTGACGTCAGCGCCCTTCGCTATCAGCTGGGCCACTACATCTGTGTAGCCGAAGTGGGCCGCTGACAGAAGCGCCGTCTCGTGGTCTTGGGTCTGGAGACAAGGAATAGTGTGATGAATCCTGCCTCTAATGAGATTTCTACTGGATTTTTTTTTATCACCTCTAACTACAGGGTTAAGTCGCCAAATGTTTATCTCGAAGCGCTGGTAGGGCAAAAAAGAATAAGACATGTATAGGCTCCTTAAGAGCATTTGACGATTTGTAAGTACTAATTTAATTAGTCTAAACAAATAAAGACAATTTGATTTTAATCAAATCAACTCAGAAACAATTTGACGAAGAATTCAGATCAGAAGTATATTCAATAATTGCAATGAGAAAAAATCTGCTTGAGGCAGTCATAGTCCAGTTATAAGAAGACAATAGTATGTGCGCCTACTGTTTAAAATAGAGTACACTAGGCTGCAATGGTGTTAATTTAAAGCATGTAATGAGTACGGGGACAGCAGCATGGCACGATCTTGGACACCCCCTTTGACGCCGCTAAGTGAAGCGGCGTCGTTCCCTTTTGTCGGCTATGCATGGGGACGCGATAACTGACTGCAGCATGCGGACTATCTCCCTATACTTGACTCACCAGCTGGTCCACATTGACAGGCGGGTTCTTATGGGCGAGAAACATGGCCACGATGTTGGACTCCCCCTTCCACGCCGCTAAGTGAAGCGGCGTCGCCTCTCTTGTCCGCTATGGATGGGGGCGCGTCAACTGACCGCAGCAGGCGGACTGTCTCCCTATACTGTACTCACCAGCTGGTCCACATTGACCGGCGGGTTCTTGTGAGCGAGAAGCATGGCTACGATGTTGGACTCCCCCTTCCACGCCACTAGGTGAAGCGGCGTCGTTCCCTTTTGTCCGCTATGCATGGGGACGCTTCAACTGACCGCAGCATGCGGACTATCTGCCTATACTTGACTCACCAGCTGGTCCACATTGACCGGCGGGTTCTTATGGGCGAGAAGCATGGCCACGATGTTGGACTCCCCCTTCCACGCCGCTAAGTGAAGCGGCATTGCCCCTCTCTTGTCCGCTATGCATGGGGACGCGTCAACTGACAGCAGCATGTGCTCTACTACCCTATACNGTGGGCGAGAAGTATGGCCACGATGTTGGACTCCCCCTTCCACGCCGCTAAGTGAAGCGGCGTCGCCTCCCTCTGTCCACTATGAATGGGGACGCGTCAACTGTTAGCAGCATGCGGACTATTTCCCTATACTTGACTCACCAGCTGGTCCACATTGACCGGCGGGTTCTTATGGGCAAGTAGCATGGCCACGATGTTGGACTCCCCCTTCCACGCCGCTAAGTGAAGCGGCGTCGCCCCCTCTTGTCCACTATGCATGGGGTCGCGTCAACTGACGCTGAACTGACTGACTACTTCCCTATACTTGACTCACCAGCTGGTCCACATTGACCGGCGGGTTCTTATGGGCGAGAAGCATGGCCACGATGTAGGACTCCCCCTTCCACGCCGCTAGGTGAAGCGGCGTCGTTCCCTTTTGTCCGCTATGCATGGGGACGCTTCAACTGACCGCAGCATGCGGACTTTCTCCCTATACTGTACTCACCAGCTGGTCCACATTGACCGGCGGGTTCTTGTGGGCGAGAAGCATGGCCACGATGTTGGACTCCCCCTTCCACGCCGCTAAGTGAAGCGGCGTCGCCCCCCTCTGTCCACTATGAATGGGGACGCGTCAACTGTTAGCAGCATGCGGACTATTTCCCTATACTTGACTCACCAGCTGGTCCACATTGACCGGCGGGTTCTTATGGGCAAGTAGCATGGCCACGATGTTGGACTCCCCCTTCCACGCCGCTAAGTGAAGCGGCGTCGCCCCCTCTTGTCCACTATGCATGGGGTCGCGTCAACTGACGCTGAACTGACTGACTACTTCCCTATACTTGACTCACCAGCTGGTCCACATTGACCGGCGGGTTCTTATGGGCGAGAAGCATGGCCACGATGTAGGACTCCCCCTTCCACGCCGCTAGGTGAAGCGGCGTCGTTCCCTTTTGTCCGCTATGCATGGGGACGCTTCAACTGACCGCAGCATGCGGACTTTCTCCCTATACTGTACTCACCAGCTGGTCCACATTGACCGGCGGGTTCTTGTGGGCGAGAAGCATGGCCACGATGTTGGACTCCCCCTTCCACGCCGCTAAGTGAAGCGGCGTCGCCCCCCTCTGTCCACTATGAATGGGGACGCGTCAACTGTTAGCAGCATGCGGACTATTTCCCTATACTTGACTCACCAGCTGGTCCACATTGACCGGCGGGTTCTTATGGGCAAGTAGCATGGCCACGATGTTGGACTCCCCCTTCCACGCCGCTAAGTGAAGCGGCGTCGCCCCCTCTTGTCCACTATGCATGGGGTCGCGTCAACTGACGCTGAACTGACTGACTACTTCCCTATACTTGACTCACCAGCTGGTCCACATTGACCGGCGGGTTCTTATGGGCGAGAAGCATGGCCACGATGTAGGACTCCCCCTTCCACGCCGCTAGGTGAAGCGGCGTCGTTCCCTTTTGTCCGCTATGCATGGGGACGCTTCAACTGACCGCAGCATGCGGACTTTCTCCCTATACTGTACTCACCAGCTGGTCCACATTGACCGGCGGGTTCTTGTGGGCGAGAAGCATGGCCACGATGTTGGACTCCCCCTTCCACGCCGCTAAGTGAAGCGGCGTCGCCCCCCTTTTGTCCGCTATGCATGGGGACGCGTCAACTGATAGCAGCATGCGGACTATTTCCCTAAAAACATTTCAATGTTAAAATTTCCAGCATAATAAATTTTCTAAACTGTGCAATTTGATGGACGAAATAAATTTTTCTTTCTCTAAGAGGGGCACATGCAAAGCAAGTATGTATAACCCACTGCAGGGTAAAGTGGGCCTTACCCCAAAATATGGGGTGCCTATAGCCACACTCAAGCATAATAAAATGGATTTGTGTAAAGTAGTCCAATCTTACTGTCAGATGTAATCGAACCTTTCAAAGGCCTCTAACTAAAAATATATGTATAACGACTACATAATTACCAAGTGGTGGTAGCCAGGACCAACTTTTAACGTGCTTATCGAAGCATGGAGATGCTTGTGATAAATGGAAGAAAAATGTCGGAATGGTCACCCATCCATACCGAATTCGGCATAAGTTGCTAAACTTTTGGTAACACTGAGCTAGAAGTGCCATATATTTTATCTTTATCGTAAAACATAGACTTGACATAAACAACCTTGGGAAATTAATTAAAAACATACAACTAAGTTAAGGAACGCCATCTGGCAAAGTTAACACCATTTTCTCCAACTGCAGTGGTATTGAAAATTTATAAGTGAATGCATATGACGCCTAACGATTATCAAAAGCAATTTAAGCGCGGGGAAATTGCCTTCGCTATTCTTGGAGGAGAAAGTTAGTCGAGAATGTATTTTATTGAGAAGTTACTCGCTAATGTATTTTAACAAGAATCTTTCAATATTAATTTTAATTTAAATTGAAACTTACTTGTGGCCATTTAGACATGCATGATGGAGTGGTGTGTATCCATTGTCGTCTTGTACATTGACGCCAGCGCCTCTTCTCAGACTAAAACAAAAAAAAAAATGCATGTATAAAAAAAGCAAAAAGAAATTCGCAGTCGGTAGGATTCGAACCTACGCTCCCAGAGGGAATCTGATTTCTAGTCAGACGCCTTAACCGCTCGGCCACGACTGCCACATGAGAAAGGGCGAAAATAGCGCTCACGTATTCCGAGCGTTCCATTTTATTCCGCAGCTGTATAAAAAGTTTTTATTTGTAAACATTTACAATGAATTATAATTACTTTATTTGTCTTTGATAAACATAATATTTTTATTAGTCTCTGCCAATAGATAAACATTCATTCGTAGCTACAATAAGTAGGTATAATAATATGGCCTACGCATCAGTTTATTAAGCCAGTAAGTATAAAGGACAATGGGCAAAATGGTACCCGGCTCCAATAGATATGTGTCTAGTATCGTTTGAAAGGTCTTACCAAGATGAACAACTTTTACTATGACCACCAGCCTCAGATCTGGTTGTGTACGAAGATATACATACTTTTTTGCAGAATGGTACCCGGCTCCAATAGTTATGTTTGTAGTGTCATTTGAAAGGTCTTACCAAGACGAACAACATTTACTATGGCCACCAGCCTCAGATCTGGTTGCGTTCGAAGATAAAGATACTTTTTGTATAACCTAAGTATCATACAGTATGAAGGGGGACGCGCTAGGGGCAGAGCACCGACGAGATGCTCGGACGCGGTGAGGAAGACGGTGGGCGGGAGTTTGCATCGTCAGCTTATGACCGCAGTCTGTGGAGGAACTCTATCTGTGGTCGCGATCCTCATCAGTGAGGGACCGAGGAAGAAGAAGAAGTATCATACGTGTCCATCGTATGGTACTTAGGTTATGCGAAGCAGGAAGGGTTTACTGCTCCAGCATCCTTCCTAAACTCTATAATTATTGATGGGGACAATTGTGAAATAAATATTTTTATTCAAAGAAGTTACCCCCTTATTAATAAAAAGTTACACCTAGGAAGAACCTTGGATTAAAATGACATTTCCATACCAAATGACAATTTAAGCCAGAGTTCAACTAGGGTGTAACTTTTATTAATAAAGGGGTTAAAGTTTTATTTCTTCTTAAGGGTTTTATTATGGGTTGCTAAAGCAAATAAACCCACAAGACCCAATAAGTCCACCTACAAGATGGACCGACGACCTCATAAAGGTAGCGGGAAGGCGCTGGATACAGGCCGCCACCAACCGGCCATTGTGGAAATCATTGGGGGAGGCCTATATTCAACTGGACGTCCTATGGCTAAAATGATCATGATGATGATGATGAAAGCGAATAAAGGGCTAAAAGCTAGGGTAGTTCATCGTAGGTATAATCCTTTCCTTTTCAATGCTTCTTTTAGTTATATTAATAGATTGTAGTCATAATACATACTCGTATACATGGATGATTGTGTTATACTTTCAATTTAATACTTAGTGGAATTACTACTTTCAAAACGTGAATTAGAACTGGCCCCATAGCAGACATTTTCCTACATCTAAAGGCCTTTTAAAATATATATTGGTTATGGCTATTGGAGCGGATACCACTTTCCATACATTTTTGCCCATCATCCTTTAGAGAAGACAACTCAACCAAACAGTTTCCATCATGAATCTGGCCTTGACATAAAGCTGGTCAACGAACCACAGGACAATGTCCCTCAGCGAGCGAGCGAAAATCAACTCAAGTGTGAAAACTTAAAGTTCACGAGACTTGACTAATAGGTGTATACCTAACTGTGAACATCGCAAATCACTTATGTCAACAGAATGTAGGTTAGCCTAGCAGAAAAAGGAAAAGAGTCATTGAAACATGTAGGTCAGGTAAGATCATGAACGTAAACTAATTGTAATACCTTATGAATAAACATTGGACCTAATAAACTCCCTTGTTTGGTGAATGTAAGTACAATAGAGAATTTTAGCTCCCCAATTTGACTCTTAAATTATTAATTTAAAGCAAATGTTTCGTATTGTGGGATAATTATGATAAAATATAGCCAACCATTCCATTAAAATTAATAGAAGTCCGCAAAAAATTTGACAGCGGAAAAAGGCTACGTTAGAATCGCAAATTACCCAAGCATGATAATTTCACTGAAGCCCAATTTGCGACCAAAACACAAACATGTAGAGATCAAATTGCAAAGGCAAAGGAAGCTTTAGAGAATGCAAATAGACGGTCAAGACGAGAATTTATCAAAGCGGAACCTGAACTTAAGACAGACCGTCCAAGACTCAGGTAAATGTTTTACCCTTTTAAATTGCCGGATGGATTCGCAGAAAAAATGTTATGCGGAGATACTTTTTAGACAGTAGGTAAAACAATACGAATAGATGAAATACCAAATACGAAGACGATTTGGTACCATACAAAAGCAATTTAAACTTTAATGAACCAATAAAGGAACACTTAACGTTGTTTGAAGCTATGCTATTATAATCAGTGTAAAATCTAGCTATCATGTCAGCCAATCATTACAGTCTATTGTATCAAGTGTTATTGTTTAGAATAGCACTCACCTGTCTACGTCGAAAACTTTCGCTTTCAATCTCTTTGTCTTAAGCCAACTTCTATTTATGTTATACCTCACATCCGATAGATGGAAATCGAAATTGTTGCCACAACACTTCACTGTTTTTTCATCCATATTACAATCAAAAACAGAAATATTGAAGTTGTTATTCTCACAACGGGGCTGTCCCGCGAAGGCAAAGATGGTCACTAGTCGAAGTTCAAATAAAACTAAATGGGGAGAAAGAAATGAGTCATAGGAAAGCCACAACTCAGAACAGGTTTGAGAGGTGGACAATAAAATAGCACCTCGTCAGACACACATGACCGCAAAACAATTGAAGATACACTGTTATCCGAACCGATGATTACTTGGGTACCAGCCTTGTGTGTGATAAGCTACGAAATTTAGATAAGATATGCGAAATGGACCAAGTGAATAATGATGAATACTGTTTATAGAATAACATCCATGAACCCAGATTAGTAATCGAAGAATTATCATACTGCATTATCAATGTTTTGACGATTCGATTAAACCATACTAATGTTAGAACCCAAATGGCAGCTCAAATAATGTTTGTGACAAAAATTTGCTGAACAATAGGTGCAAGTTTTTAATGAACTTCATAGATTGGTGGTAAATGATCATAAAATTGTATGTAGTGACAGATTTTGGTGTAATATTATATTTCAGGAAGGGGAAAACGTGACTTGTGCAGAAACGTGCAAAAGAGGACTAAAGAAGTTTCAATACTAAAAAGAAACATGCTAAATAGTACGATGTTATGACAACAATCGTTAACACAATGAACAAAGGCAGGTCAATAGGCCAAAGAAACGATTCTACTTGTCCATGTATTTATTACTCATACTCATAAAGGTACGTGGGCCACGCTTTTAGCTCTATTTCAGTTGTTTAGGTTTATAGGAGGAAAATATTTGCATGACGTCCGTAAGTCTTAATATGGACGACTTTATGACACTACTAAGCCCACCTTTTTAATCCTGGGTTTTCTATTGTATTGGTTACTCATGAAATTAATAAGGCTATTTTTAATTGTATTTTATCTTTAAGAGTAGGCGCACACCGTTGATTTTTAGTTGGCCGATAGTTGTGCCCGATTTTAAATTGTATGAAGAATCGGCCAAATCGAATCGGCGTAGTGTGCGCACTCCCATACATGCCCATACTGATCAACTGCCCGACTAAACTATCAGCCGACGAAAAATCAACGGTGTGCGCCTACTCAAATAGAGTTTAAATTTACATTGGGTACTTCAAATTTATTGTACACTAGCTGTCCCGGCGAACTCTGTTCCGCCTTAAAGGCAATAAATAAGCCATCGCAATTTTTCCTTATTTACTCACAGTTTAGACCAACCCTGGACTACGACAAACATTTTAAAACCAAAATCAGCTCAATCGGCCCAGCCGTTCTCGAGTTTTAATCAGACTAACGAACAGCAAGTCATTTTTATTTATATAGATAGATAGATTACAGATGAAAAAAGGGACTGAAGTCCGTTTTATGTATCTTGGACTACATGATTCGAGTATGTAAACAGAACTTAAGCAAGTGTTTGTTGCAGATTTGTACCAAAACCGCAACTAAATGTTAGCTTCACGCGAGGTTCCGTCAAATAATATCCGTCATAGTTTGTAAATATTCGATTACAATGCCAAGTTAACAACGATAACAAAACTAACATGTGGTTTGATTGAATCATGAAATGCAAGCTTATAATAATTTAGAACTGGAGTAGGTACTTGATATTATAGAGTAGTAGTATTAGTATAGTAAAGGTTTACCTGAATCTCCTTACAAGTCCCCTCACAGAGTTGTTAATGACATCGAAGTTGGCATGCCAAAACTTCATCCTGGCTGCAATATCTTATAGTCATATGCTCACTAATTTTGCACTCACAACTGACCACACCTATTATTCAGCCTTATCGGTTACATGGTGTGTTCCACACAAATATTGGTTAAGTAATGTTACGGGAAACCGAACCGAGCGTCCCACCGACCGTCGCTGACTAACCGACCTGGTGGGTGAATCATAGGACCAGCCAACAGGTCGCTTTAGTTAGAGGTTTTTTATTGCGGTATTTTCGCGCGTAACTGTTTCTTTGGAGGAGGCCAATGAGATTGATCTACTCTATCTGGTTTTGGCTGTTTGGCTTTTGTTTGATGGTTAATTAGAGATACAAAGACTGAATGGTGTTAAATATGCCCGGTTGATTTCCTTTGTTGCTTTATTATCCTTATTTTAAACATAGTAAGGTGTGTTTACATTACTACGTTCTCTTTACGTGGTGTGCGTAGGACATTATAAGAGACAGAAGCCGGTACAACCGACATAAGGACGACTTAATACACCTCACGCATGATGATGCTATGTGAATGCACCTTTATTATAAAGTAAACACGAGGAAAGAATTAACATAAATACATCATTACGTTTAATAACTAATTAAGTACAACATGTACTACCGTTTATTGGTAACATAGCGCATCAGGTTTGTAGTATTTACAATATGTACCCATCTAGGTAAGTACTATGTAGATAAACGAAAATCGATTTATCCGGAAAACAGATTAAATTAGCTTTTCAGAAACAGAAGATGCTCTTCTACCTATTACAATTACGAATCACGATTGTTAAATTTTGTATTGAAACTGAAACTAGTATATCAACTTTGATCTTTGATATTAGATCATGAACCCATGTAATAAAATAGTCATTTATGACCTTTGCCCAGAATGTTAAGATTGTTCAATCATCAATAATCGTAACTCAGGTACAAAGTAGTGTTTATATCTGTGTCCATAATCACGGAAACACTCAATCGACAATTAAAATGTACCGTCACGAAATCGGGTCAACTTGATAACGCCATTACGTGATTGGATCGCCAATCGTCCATTTCACTGATAAATAACACCTATTAAGAGGTATTATTCCGGGTGAGGGCTCTTTCCCACGGGGAAATACAGGTTTTTTCAGGAATTTTTTTTTTCAGATCCCTTCAAGTAGTTTTAAGAACAAGAGCCGTTAAAACGGCAATCCAGTTTTACGGGATGCAGTCCTGCATGACCTCTCAAAACTGGAGTGTCGTGTGAAAACACAATCATCTTCATTTTAGACATAGGACGTCCACTGCAGCTGAACAAAGGCCTCCCCCAATGATTTCCACAATGACCGGCTGGAATCGGCCTGAATCCAGCGCCTTCCTGCTACCCTGTGGGTGGACGTCCTACGTTGCGCTTTCTGGAACACACAAGTGTGTGTTTAAAATTTGAATTCCAAATTCGTATCGGTTTTTTGCGGGACCTGCAAACAGGATTTTCGGGATCAATCAATCAGCAATGCAGGGTCGCGAAGAACTGGATTGCCGTAGAAAAAGGCCCTTATAGTAAGTAAACAATTTCGATTGAAGATTGTTGCTACTTTCACGAAACTCTCGCAGTCGCAAACCTCTTTAATTAGTATCTACAACTGTCACATACCCGATCCATGGCTAATGCGCTAATTAGTTTGGCTTCACTGAATCCTTAGAAATAATTTGGTAAACAAAACAGCTAGCATAGGGTAGCTAGAACATTCCAATAGCAATTTTGTTGCGAAGTTACGCTAGCGGAAAATATGGTGGATAATGTTATTTATCACACCTTTTGCAAAGAGTAAGGTAGGGCATATTTTCTTTAAGTCAACATTTACATGTAAACACAGATAAGTGTCTGACCATCCCTGGTTTCGTGCTAAAAATATCCGAATATTAGCTTAATGCGCGTAACGCTTAGCGTGTCGACTGTACCATAGCATACGCATGCCGATTATTGCCGATTTATTATGGTTTTCATCCATATACAACATGGCATACAGAATTTCCATTTCCATTACGTCAACGACACGTTTTTCGCGGATTATTCCCGATGGTATTGAATTTATTTTGAAGGTCTGTTAGGTGGATAGCAGCCAACCATGCTTGTTTAGGAATTGAATTGCTGATGGACAAAATCGCGCAGATTTTATGTTTCCGCACAGTGCAATGTTCTGCATACTAACTCTATACTAAACTAAGTACATGTGCAGCCTGGTTAGGCAGTCCTGGACTAACACGGACATACGAAAGTTCAACGATCGTTCCTCAACATCGATTGGCGTCTGGCCCGCAGCCAAACACTTCACTTTAATGGTTTCAGTTATCCCACTTCCTTAAATAGATAACTGCTTTTAGATTACAGTCGTACCTTTGATATTGAGATTTCTTCTTAAGAGTAGACAAGCTATTTGTACTACCAAACCAAGATAGGTGTGCAATGAAACTTTTTGATTCTGTACAACTGCAGACTATCCAGAACTGCAATCCATCCACTACATACTAATAATAAGTAAAAAACTTTGGCTACAAATGTGCCTTTGTCTAATTTGATTGAATTTAATAATGGAAATGCATGACTGCTGTTGGAGTGAGGATGGTGTTAATATTACCAATTACTTAATTTTCGTTACTGAATAAAAAAGCAGGATTATGCTTGTGATGAGAATCTGTAGAAACATTTTGGATAAGTACCAATTTGTAGGTTTATAGATCTGTAAAACAAATATTTTATCTAATCAATCACACAACCATCAAGACATTTATTGTTGCAGAAAGACAACAAACAATCATAACTTACTACTTTGTATTATTAACAGTTTTCCTCAATCCATAGTCCGTACAAATGAAATGGTTTTCCTATTGTCACAATCAAGACATTTTTGGTTCTATTTGATGGTCCAAAATAAATAGCTATTAACATAGTTTTTCTTATTGTCTATGGACAATTCAGGTAGAAGAATGCATGCTTATTGCATTGTCTAGTAAATCCTTTTAAAGAAGTAAGTTAGGTAAATGGTAAGTACCTACATCATGCATCAAAAAAAAAGTTATTGTTTTCTACCATATCTTCACAGCATAAAGTTCACATTGATGTGGGCTCTATTTAACCAGAGCCTGGATAAGGTTTAAAGGACCTGCACGTTTAAGTACTTTCTTAAATGAAAACTTGTTAATGACATGAGGTGGAATTGTGTAAAGCAATCGTAATCATTTGACACGATCTTCTATAGTAGAATGATTATCTTATATAAACAACCAGGATATGTCAAAAATACTTCTTATCTTAATCTATCTAACATAAACAATTTTATCTCAGCACTAAAACTTAGAAACCTTTTTTATCTCCAATAACAACATTTATTTTAATGAGAGAGATTTTCAGTCAGCTGGATATGCCTGACCCTCACCGAGAATGTAAGTTTAAGACAGAATTAAAATGTGATTCGCAATGTTTACGAATATTTCGATGTCTGTTTTTGAAGGGTTTGTTTTCATCTAATGTTGTGGACATCTAATGTGTAAATATAGAAACTATTTTGATATTTTTTTTGTCAATTACATACCACATCAATTACTCAAATTGAACAGCAAATCAGAATACATTTTATAGCAAAATAACTCTTATGATAACTACATAGGATGGTGAATGTTTAGTTTTATGTAGTCTTCTGTACATGTGACAGCATGTCAAGGTAAACACTGTGGAATTTGTGGTTGTAACAACGTTATGGTCCTTTACCATAATATTTTAAATATGTAATTCAAATTACTACTTGCGTGAAAATTCATATAAAATCTTTATCTTGCCTAATATTATGCCAAGTAGATACTTATAAATGTACATGTAATGCAAGTTTCTGAAAACTGTTTATCATAAAATTAAATTAATAAAACTCCTACTTACTACCTACATGTTTACTAAACCACTAGCTACAGAGAACACAGAATACAAAAGCATACTCACATATATCTAAGAATAATTTAAGGAAACCCGCTTGAGATTCTAAGAAACTCGAGTAGGTATAGTTGGTGAGGATGTGTAGTTAAATACCTACATAGTATGGCATCAACTGACCTTGCAATCAATAAATTAATCGCTGTTCAAATGGATTCTACGACACAATAAACAATAATCATCGACATAACGATGTAGCTATAGGCGATGATCAGTCAAGAAATGCTGATAAGCTAGTAAACATTGAAAAAAATCTCCCCTACAAGTTACAAGAAAACACTTCGATATTGTTGATCAATGACAGCCTACGTGGTTCTTGCATTCTGACATGATAGTAAATTAAACGTACTTTGCAGTATGCTACATTTCACCAAAACCGGCCGCAAAGTGATCTTATCATTTGCTAAAACATGAAAAGACCCACCTTGTAAAAGGACCACTCCTTTTCGTTATTTGTCCCAGTATTTTTTCGACAGTTCGCCTCTCGCCATTGCGGGCTGCATCTAGCAACTCCTGGCCCCTCCCCATGGCCCATTAATGGTTAATATCACACACAAAAACAACACAAGGTGAAATCATTTCAATTTTTTACACTAGACTTCACTACACATTACAACTTCATTGATCGCGGCGCCATGTTTGAGAAATCGAGAATTTGACGTGAGCGTGAATGCGCTCTAGCGGCCGCGGACGGAATCGATCGCACTCGGCCGGCCGGTTCGTTCAAGTTCGCTAGTAGGAATACTACATAACGCTAAATAAATTATAATTTTTAAAGAAAGAGAAAAGAAAATTTTAATTTTCTCATTATACGAATCATCAAACTAACCAACAGTGTTTTGAGTTTTGACCAAACTAGCATTTCTTACATTTTTGAAATTCCGGTTTCTCAATCATGAATTTTGATACAGTTCAAAACCTGATAGGAACTGACTGAAACATTTTCTTCATTCGCTTGAGATTAAATTTAAAATTCGACTCATGATTATTGAAACCAAGTAGACGCGTCGTTAATCTTTTGTTCGTATATTTTATTAATAAATAATTCTTAATTCTCTTCTACAAAAAGTTCTAAAAGTTGGAGCATTCATATTTATAATAAATCTGTATTAAACTAAAATGATAAGCAAATAATATTATCTGCTTTTCCGTCCCTTTGATTATTGATCCATCCATACAAAAATATTAAATTAAAATTTTAAGGTGTTATACAATAAGGTTGTTCTGTAAAAAGAGAAAGATAAATAGACCTATCTCACTCTACGTCCTAGCTCACCGGTCGTTCACTCATTCACTGATTTCGTTGTGTGGCAGAGGGCGCTTTAGTTTATGACACTGCAGTACAATCAAAACTAGACTCTATTGCATAAGGTTTAAGAATTTTTTTGAGGATTAATGCCGGTGTTATTTGTTTGACATATTATTGCCGCTGTCAGTCATGCAGTTAAAATATTGTTTCTTTCTATTTGTTATCATTTTCCAGTTCAATGTACTGCGTTGTATTGCGTTTATAAAATATTTTTATTTGTGTTATGCGCTAAATGAGTAATGAACTCTAATGTAGAGGAGAAATCGAAAGTGAAAAGCAAAACGATCGTCCTTCTTTAGTGTTCGTCAGCTGACTTTGACAGCAAAACAATGTTTTTCAGGGTTCGAAGTTCTGTACAGTCCGTAGTGTAATTTTATCCCTAAAAGTGTGTAACTGTGTAATAAATGGTGCAGTGAAAATGATCTCCCAAAGTTCCACTTGGTTTTTAGCTATTACTATATTTTTATTATGTGTAGTAAAAAATATTACCGGTAAGTACCTTCTCGCTTCTACTAAAAGTGATAAAGTTACCTAGGTACTATTTACCTTACTTTAATTTACATTATTTTTACAATTAAAATGGATTTCGTATTATAAAAAAAATGTATACTTTCCTTACCACAGTAGTAATTTATGTGCCACTTTTGGCTTTACTTCTATATTTATTATACTGCCATAAAAAGTCATTACCATCAGAATTATTTTGCTGGATATTTTATTTATTTCTAGTTATGTCCATCTGGGAGTCAAACCCGGGATCTCCAAACTGGATGCCACAGCGATTGACCATACACCATAACAACTTATTTTTTATTAATTTACCTTTCTTTTTCAGGTGAAGATAAGATAACAATACCTATAAATAAGACAACAACCTGGCCTAATAGACTACTTTACAGTGGGTTTTTTAATATCACTCGCTCGTCCTCTGTCAAAGTAAATTTTAATAATATAGACAAAAATGTATCATTTGTTATATTCCAAGTGCATAGTCATTTGTATGATATAACAGTATATAACAACACCTATGTAAAAGGCTCTTATGTTTCGGGAACAAATGTTGGCCTCTACAGTTCGGTTAAACCAAAAATGGATACTTTTTATGTATACAACCAGAATAAAGATGTTGATTTAAAAGTTCTTGTAACACTTCTTGGATATAGATATCAAGGTAATTTTTCTCTCTTTGTTTTATACATTTTATTGTAGGACTTACAGTTATTTTAGTTTTTTATAAGTTTTTTTTCCAATGGTTGCGATTTTACATCTTGATCATACATTAATCCTGATGAACACGTCATTGATTAATTGATATACCTACTTATTATGAACAATGTTTTTTAAAGAAGCATGTTTTACTTGAGTAGGAATTTAATTCACTTCATTTGTGTAAAATGAATAGGTACCTATTTCAGTGTGTATCTCAACTTATGGTTTTCCTGTGTGTATTTATAGTCATTAGACAAATTATTTCCTTGCTCATGTTAAACAAAACTACAACTTTAGGCAAATGGTTTTAGTTTTCAAGCTCTTCCCACATACACTATAGGGCAAAAAAGTCTTTTCTTCACTATTTATTTATTTTATTTAGAAAGGTCACCAAATAACATATCACACTATGGTTTTCTACTTGCCATAAATCTCTGGCATACAGCAAGCAAGGCGGTTTAAATCATTTTAAAATCAACCTTTAGGCTGACGACAAACGAGCATAATTTCCGTAGCGTACCTACCTACCTACCTAATAATAAATAAAAGTTCAAGTTCAAACAATTTTTTTGCATCGTTGTTGTGAAGTTCGATACAGAACTTTTGTGTAGGTAGACTTTGTCCTAAGCCTTACAGAATTCCGTTTTCAGTTGTCATTTTATTTCAGATCCTATACCTGGAGGTTGTAACATGGAGTTTCCAATCCCTGTATCTCCATTTTTGACCACAAAACTGAACAAAGACTATGTTGTTGTTGATACCGCACCAGCCAGATATTATTCAGATGATAAGTGTCTCAATGTCGTAAAAGTTAAGGTCGAATTTTATATGATGTACTTACCAACGGGAAATTACGATGCTGATACCTATTTTGAGGGTATTATGAAAATGATGACTTATGATAACATCAGAGAAAATGCAAATTGGGTGAGCTTTTTAATTGATATTTCAAACATATTACATAGTTTAGGAACTTGATTTTAAAATAGTCCATTTGATTTTGCGTTCGACTGTACACAAAGTCACACCACTGTTTTTTAACCGACTTCAAAAAAGGAGGAGGTTCCATGTTCGGCTGTATGTATCTTTTAAGGCCGGCTTCACACCGACCCCAATGTTGAGCCCACCAATGTCACTCGTCCAACGTGTGGATCTAAAAAAAATAATACTGGCACCAACGTTGGGAAAGCTGTTTTCCAGAAGCACACGTTGGACGAGTGCTGCTGGGACCAACGTTGGGGCCAGCATGTAACACCAGTGCATGTACCTACCTATATTAAGTATTGTATTGAGTGAAAAACTGCTTTTAGATACCGCTAAGCTCAATAGCGTGGCGCATGCGTCGCATGTTGAGTTTGTACCCTGGGACCGGCGCGGTATACGTGGCGGTGGCCCAAAACTCCGACAACCCCAATTACTACTCAGTTTACGTGCCCACGGCCACTTATGGTTGCCAGCCGGTCGACGATGGCTGTGAGCTCATCGGTTAGTATTAACGTTAAACCCCGTAAAATTAAACACTAGGACAAGGCACCCCAAGGTTGCAGGGTACCCACTGAGTTATAGACGGCCCAGTAGCGCTGTTAAGCCCAGTTTTTACCAGTATAAAAACGAAATCTGATAGGTCATTCAAACTCATCTCTCCGCTTTGGTGAAAACTTAAGCTAACAGCGCTGCAGGGTCATCTTTAACTCACTGGGCGCCCTAGGCCTGTGACCACTGAGTCCCTTTTCCTAGCGCTTAACTTTTTTTTTAGAACAGGTGGGGGGGCTTGGTCGAGCTGGGCTTGGGAATATTTAAAGTCCAGAGTGCCCAATAGAAACAAAAGACCTTAATATGTCAACTGTAACAGGCAGGAACTACTTTGCAACTAAAGTTTGATGTGCTGAAGAATATACAGTCCTTTGAAATTTTTGAGTTTTAAGACTTCCTAGGCACGGCGGCGTGAGCATGGTGCTAGCAAGAAATCTTGAAGATAGAATTAAGGTAGTTTGAGGCTGAAGGTAGCTTCTCATAAAACTGCGATAGACTTAAGGAGTTGTCGCTCTGTATGCGGTCTGCGGTCAGGTCAAAGTGAATGCAGCCCGCATAATGTATGATTACTTAGACCGCAGATCGCATCCAGTATGGCAAACCTACATAGTAAGATAATTTTTATTAGGATATTGAATGACATACATTGCTTGCAGATGATGTTCTATCAAGATTTATATGCGCCATGTTGCTATTCGTGGGCATTTTCGTGTGTTATTTCGGCCATCGTTTCTTCAAGACTGAGATGTTCCTAATGGGGATGTTGGGCGGATTCGTGCTCACTTACATAGTTATATCTACGCAAGTCACATTGGATACATTTGGTGAGCTTATATGAAAAAGTTGATCGTCATTTGTAGGGGAGACCGAGGAGAGTCAAGTCAATTTCTCTGAATTATAAGACAGTTTATCAAGCAAATTCGCGAATTCGTTGCTCTTTCGACATTCCACCGTTTTTTACGGACTATTCGCACCTCTCTTTCCCACCGCTGCAACTCCTGTGTAGTCAGGTTCTACAGCTTGTACGCTAATAAAAACCCAATTAGTGAAATTAAAGTTTGTCCCGTTTGCGTTTCACACACTCCACAGTTTGCCTGAAACTGTCAGCTATCATAGGAGCAGAGAAACTGGCTTTGTGACAACTTACCTCTGTTACAACGCTCCTCGGCCTCCCCTACCTACTCTAATATGGTAATTATCTCTCTATTCATGTTACATTTTTTTCCAGCTTTACTTATGGCGTCAATTATCTCTGGAATATTCTTTGGTGCTTTCTGGTTGACATTCTGGTGGTACTACGGGATTCCGGTGATCGCCGTGTCCTTGCCCGCCCTTAACCTGGGCTTTCTGTTGTCAGCCATCGTCTACAGCCAGATTCCGGGTTAGTGGGATTTCATGACTTGAATGTATGAATAGAGAGTACAATTTTGTCAATCCTTCGGTTGGCCTGGAAAATTGACTGCTTCTAGGGTATTCATCAGTCTCTGAAAAATACACTATGGTTAAAGGCCGGTTTCCACCAAAGCGGAGCGTTTTGATTAAGTAACCAATGAGATTTCGTTGTTTCCACATTTCTTCTTCGTTCAGCTTCAGTTCGTCAGTAAATTGGTAAGACATGCCTTGAGCTTTCCTAAAATCATTGTAGCTGTTAGTTTTCTTTCAAATACCTACTTACGCCATGAGGTCGTCGGTCCACTTTGTGGGTGGACGTCCTACGTTGCGCTTTCCGGTACGTGGCCTCCACTCCAGAACCTTGCTGCCCCGTCAGCATAAAGGTAGCAAGAAGACGCTGGATGAAGTCCGCTACCAACCGGCCATTGTGGAAATCAGTGGAGGCCTATGTTCAGCAGTGGACGTCATATGGCTGAAATGATGATGAATAGTGACTTACGTTTACTTATTTAAAATCCCTTGATTTAAAAGACCCTTGTGCGTAATTTTTCATTATTTTTCCAGGTCCAGGTTATCTACCAGTACTGCAAGACGACTCCAATTTTTGGGTCCTATTTATCATAATAATGTCTGTGGCATCACTAATCCTGGTCTCGCTAGCATTCGTGTCCAATTTCGTTTGCTGTGCAATACTCGGCGCGTACGCTATAGTATACCCTATCGACTTCTACTTAGGGTCTAACATCAAGTATATCATCATCAACACTATCAGAAGAGCTACGGTGCCTAAGTTTAATCTTGCTATGCTCAATACACCATTTCAATGGAGAGGTAAGTGACTGAATGTAATGTTTTCCGAATAATCTCAATTAATCTTTGTGATTCTTTCACTTTTGTGACTCATCAAGAATAGTCTAGCATGGTGGAGTAAAGTCTTTTGAAAAGTCCTTAGCAGTAACTAGTATCTAGCTAAGCCTAAGACAGGTTAAAATGGTGTTTATTGGATTTGGAAGAGGCCTATATCAGAGGTCCAGCAGTGAACTGCTAAATGATGATGATGGTATTTTCAATTGGATTAGTCTATGCCCGACTTCTAAATCTGCTCATAAAATCTGACACGGAAGTATTTTTGACAAACAAAAGAAAAATACCTGAATATCCGGATCCGTACCGTATACAATAGCTCGTACAGTGACAATGTCCCTTCCTTATTTTTTTCCTTGTAAATACTTTGACTTTTCACGACGTGTCAAACACTCTACTGAAAACAGTAGGCCCTGAATATTTGCTTAATAATCGTCTGTTTTCAGATGGAATAGTGGTGGCGTTATGGATAGGGCTAGCGGTCAGTGGGTTCCTGTTCCAAGCGCACCAAAACCGCGGACGCCCCCCCTTCCCCCCTCCGCCCAGAAGTGTCCGTCAAGAGAGACCAGAACCCTCGGGCTATGGCGCCGTGCCAGCCACTATCAGGTACTGAACTATTCTCACTTCTCATTCCCACTCTACATCTCCTGTATAGCCAGGATCTACAGCTTGACCGCCAATAAAAACCCAACCAGTGAAGGTCAAGTATGTCCTGGGGGAAGTTAAACTGTCATCGAATTAAATCAGAAGATCATAGGAGGAGTTCGAAGTTAAGGTTCGACTTCCCTCCAGTTCAAAGCGGATGACAGTTGACAAAACAAAGGTATAAGTAACCACCAGGTTCCACTACCAGGTGCGAGTACCTATGTTTTTGTGAAAGTACACAATACTTTTACTTTGTGGGGTGATTCCAATCGCTTTCCCGCTCTCTACCCTTCCATCCAGGAGTGTTCGTCAGAGCGACCGGAGTTCTCAGGCTATGGTGCCGTACCAGTCTACCAGGTGAGTTTTTCTGAACTAGGTACTACACTACTTTGTGGTAGCGTTATGAGTAAGTAAGCAGCGGATTCCCGTTTTGACAATACCACAACCGTGGGCGCCCTCGCCTCTATTTTGACTCTTGAACGAAAGGGGAATGGGGATTTCCCTTTGTTCAAGAGTATGCGCAAGTTTATCTCAAGGTATGTTATTAGGTAGTTGTTCGGATATCGAAGACTAGGTATCACTGGGTTATGTTCCGAAACTACCAACTACAATTAAAAAAAAAACGTGGTGGAATGTAAAATTAAATTAAATGACTTTAATGCCCACACGCGAAGTAAAATAGCTGCACAAATATGCTTACTTATTGTATTATTATTGAATTTATCTAGTGCTTATCATACTATAAATAAAATGGGCTAGGAATGACTTTAGCTGTAACTTCTTCTTATCATAATGTAAGTCATCGAACCTGTTTATGATGATGAAAATGGTTTTTACCCTGTCCCCACCAGATTTGTGTCCACTGGTGGAATTTAATTTTTTTTTAGTTGTTTTTTATTCCCGTTGTGTTGTTCCATACCGGCCAGCAGAAGTGGGACAACGGAAATAAAAAAAAGTATTTAATAAAATTCCTGTTTTCTCCAATGGTGGGGACAACAGGAATAAAAAAAAATTAAAATAAATTGAATTTTAAAAAAAATAATTATTTTTAGTATTTTGTGCGACTGCTAGTAAAAGTCGTGTAGTGTATTTCGTAATGCGTTCAAAACAATTGCTTTCTTATTAGAAACGAGTAATAAATAGTCCGTCAAGCGTAAACATTCCAAGGTTTTAGCAAATCTAGTTGTTTATATCCTACTAATATTATAAATGCGAAAGTTTGGATGTCTGGATGTTTGTTACTATTTCACGCAAAAACCTAACACTTTACATCAAGTGCGATTGTGGTCAAATACCTGCCTTGTTATGCATAAAAAAAATATAAAAAAAACTACTGAACGCATTTTGATGAAACTTTACAGTACTATTGTTTATAACCCAGAATAACATATAGGCTATAATTTATGACGATCTGTGACAAATTAAATTTCACGCGGGTAAAGCCGCGGGAAAGAAACTAGCTTTTGTAGTTTCTCAATATAACTTACTTCATATGTTTTGGCATTTAGCGGCACGTGAGGGTGTTTTTTAGACGTCAAACTGTGTGCCTACCATGAGTTTACGTTAGGTGAGCTCGCTAGCGAATACGTCAAAAAATTCTATGAAGATTTTATTTCTTGAAAGTAGCCGCTAGGGGCGCTGCACAATATGTCATACATTTAAATGTCATTTTTTTACGCAGTCGCTAGCGAGCACACCTAACGTAAACTCATGGTAGGCACACAGATGCTTCAGATTTTTATGCTCTGTGACGTCATAATATTATTATGTCAAAGTTATCCCCGTGCCGCTCACATACCTCAGGCACTGACTGACTTAAGCATAAACCTAGACTCGAGTTTCATTTCATTTGTTTATTTATTTAAAATCTTTATTGCACACAACAAATAGTAGTACAACAGGCGAGCTTAATTCCATGTGGCATTTTTATTACCTTAATAAATCTACCTACGAAACAATATTTTGTTCTTTCTTAATCTGTTGTTTTTATTTTTTCAGAAACTTCGTCTCATCTCTCAGTTCAGCCGCGCGCCGCAATGGAAGCGACGAAAGAACTCCTTTACTGGCCTAGGTGATGTCTTTATTATTTTTATTTTATACGAAATAAGTATTTTAAAACAACCAAAAAATGCACCAACATAAAAAAAATTAAATATTCCTAGGCTTATATTTTCTTAGCAGACCTATGGCCTACTTTTTTGCGTTAGGCGATTATCACACTGCACCGCGCTCCGCCGCGGTACGTGGGACGACTGATTTATTAATTATATTCAAGTTCCTCAGTTTCTATAGAAAACACGCGCGGCACAACACACTACAACGCGTTTGCGCGCGGGATTCGTTATTATGTCGCCACGCGGACCGCGGCGGAGCGCGGTGCAGTGTGATAATTGCCTTATACCCAGTAGTTATTGAGTTAACATAACTACAGGTCTAGTGTATAGTCATAGTCATATTATTCAGTGCCTGCGGTATGGGGGCGGTACTGGAGCGACAATATGACATAGGTAACACAGTAAACAAGACTGGAAGCACATCTGCAGTCTCCGCTGACATTTGACGTCACAAAAACACCCTTCCGTGCCGCTCCCGTACTTGTTGCACTGATTAAGTTTGCGGTAGGCCTGTAGCCAGTCATAGGCTAAAGCCTGGTCCGTGAGCACGTAGAATTTTGTCCAATGACCCCAAGCTACCCATCCTTATCGCTCGCGTATAATTATGTTGCTGTCGCGCTCGCACACTCACTGCGGGCGCCCGTCGCACAGTCGCGACAGCAATATATTATGTAATTACGCGCGAGCGATAAGGATGGGTAGCTTGGGGTCATTGGACAAAATTCTACGTGCTCACGGACCAGGCTTTAGTAAATAAGAATATAGTTATTAAGCTTAAAAGGTCTCAAATCAAGATATTGATTAAAATGGGAATTATTACTTAAGGGGAGGTAGGTAACACCTCTCATTCCCCATTAGAACTGCTTTATTACTATAAATCCAGGATCTTAACCCTTAAATGCATAGTGTTGCCATATGTCTACGAAGTACTTTTTTAATTATAAAAAGTAACACATTTTATAAGCGTTTCTGAACGTATGCTAATATCATAGAAAACATCATAATAAAAATAAAAAAAACGCAAATGAAGGTATATTTGAAAAAAAATTAACCGATATTTGACGTAGCGATTGCGAAAGAGAAAAAATTGGTAGTGTTAAAATTTGTGGTATTTTAATTTCGGATTCAGTGAGAATTAATTGCTAAAACGATTGGAAAAAAATACATACGTGTTAGAAATAATGTAAGAATTCATTATTATAACTTATTTTTTTGGTAATCTATCCCGAATGTGCCTTCGACTTGATTTTTGTGTATGTAGCCAAATGTCTACACCATGCGTTTATGCCATAAAATTGTTCTATGGTTTGCTTATTTGGCTTTTCTTTTCAGCATGTTTGGCTCGCTATCTGAAAAGGAAATTGAGGCAGCTCTTGCTGCTTTAAATGATGGTGCAGTCTCAGAAGATGATGAAAATTTAGATGATGATAATATCGATTTTTACTCAAACGTACGGGATTTATTGCATGATCTGGATGAGGAGTCCATAGATCATAATCTACCCTTGGAACATAACGAAGATCTGATCTAATATATGCTCCTCTTCATAGACTATGGGAGGGTTATGTTCCAGGGTCTTCGTTATGTTCCAAGGGTAGATTATGATCTATGGACTCCTCATCCCGATCATGCAACAAATCCCGTACGTTTGGGTAATAATCGATGTTATCATCATATAAATTGTCATCATCTTCTGAGACTGCACCATCATTTAAAGCAGCAAGAGCTGCCTCAATTTCCTTTTCAGATAGCGAGCCAAACATGCTGAAAAGAAAAGCCAAATAAACAAACCATAGAACAATTTTACGGCATACAAACGCATGGTGTAGACATTTGGCTACATACTGTTAATTTTCAAAAATATACTTTTTTTTCGTACTAAGATTTTTTTTATTATTTTTCCCCTTATCTGTGACTAAAAATCTAATTGAAATATTTTTTTCATAACTAAATAAAAAATCATGCATTTAAGGGTTAAATAAGTATACTGGCTTGTTGCCAAACTAGCTTATTTTCCTAATTTTTAGAAAAGTAGTCTTGGCTATTCCGAGCGATATTCAATATTGTTTGTAAGTGGGTCACAGGCACATATCAGAAAATATTTTATTTACAAAATGTTTTGTTATTTGTATTAAGGTTCTGTAAGTTTCAGTAGTATGCTACAGTCGTCAGTGTAGATCAACCTATTAACTAACAAACCCCGCTTTTGTGTCCATAGCATAAAGTTTAAAATTGAATAAAAAAAAAGTCGTATTGTTTTGGAAGGGCAACTACTGTATAAATTTGTATGAAAATATTTTATCTCTATGCCCAAATAAAAAGGTTGTTATAGCATGATAGGTAATCATATAAAATATTAGTAGTTTTTAGATATTTTAATTAAAAATGCTTGTTATTAGTTAAGAATATGCTTAAAGCAATGAAATAGAATAGATGCTCTCTTACTACAAATATGCCAAATAGTTACTTACTTTTTCTTAAAAATATCTTAATGTCGTAAGACTGGCCATGACTTTGTGATCTACTATACTTATTGCTGTGATTGTTATTCTTAATATCAATAAACATTATTTTTCAAAATAACAAAAACATTTTTTAATGTTGTCTCCGTATACTTACAATTGAGAATGTTACTAGGTATGCAAAATCACTTGAAACCTATGTTACACTTAAGCTTTTACATTTACAAATACATTAGTTTTTATTTCATTCAAAAATACCCAGTAGTTATGATTTTATAGGCATTCAAAGTTCGCTTAAATATTGAGTCCCGCCGACGGTCACGTGACCCCGTGTGACGTACATTCACAGCGTCCGCTCACTAGAAAACGGATATAAACATACTTAAATATTATTTTTTTTGTAAATACAAACTTATTATACATATTAACACCCAGACCCATCACAGAAATTAAAATTGAACCAAACCCAAACTTGATGCGATTGTGTCGTTTTATTGCGAATTACCTTCCAGCTCCATCATTAGACCCCGATTACTATATAGAATTAAAATACTCATCAATACAAAACGAACGAGCCCAAACTCGATGCATTTAAGTCGTTTTATTATAGAGTTCCTATGGCCACCAGTGGCGGATTAAGAGTATCCGAGGCCTTAAGCACAGAGCCTGTGTAGGCCCTCTATTGCTTAAATGGAAATGGAAGGAATGGAATGGAAGGTATAAAGTATAAAATGTAAGTTCATCAAAATAGAAAGTGTAGTAGGTAAAATGTAAAACTTAAAACATTATTTTCCTTGCCTTAATCAGAGCAAACTCCGAGATTACATCGTCGAAATTTATCCGACGAAGTATGTCTGCCTCAATACACATTAATGCTAATAGTACGAGAGCCCACGACCAAAACCATGTCTCATAGCAATACGGCAAAAACCCTATAAAATCGTTAGATTGTATGATTCTGAACCCGACTAGGTGTGTAGTAACGGTCGAAAGTGTAGCAACTGCGTGGGAGGCCATTTCTGCTGTGTCAAAAAAAAAAGACAGCCGGTATTATAGCAATACGTCTGATAGTGAAAATGTACATAGATTTTATAATTGTATTACGAAAAAGTTTGTTTTCAGACATTTTGCGCGTAGCATATAGCCTGTGCGCATTTTTGAAAATGTCAACAAATTTAGCCGACCTGTATCATAGCAATACGGATAATCTGTCTGTCTGTCTGTCTGTCTGTCTGTCTGTTACGCTTTCCCGCTTAAACCTCTCAACCGATTTTGATGAAATTTGGCATAGAGATAGTTTGAGTCCCGAGAAAGAACATAGGATAGTTTTTATCCCGGTTTTTGAAACAGGGACGCGCGCGATAAAGTTTTTCTGTGACAGACAAAATTCCACGCGGGCGAAGCCGCGGGCGGAAAGCTAGTAATATTATAAAGAGGAAAACTTTGTTTGGTTGTAATGAATAGGCTTAAAAACTACTGGACCGTTTTTAAATATTCTTTCACCATTTGAAAGCTACATTACTTACGAGTAACATAGGCTAAATCTCGATAAAATGTAGGTATGAAATGAAACGCCTCCATCCTCTGCTGGCGCGCCAGCAGAGGATGGAGGCCCCTGGAGAACTGGGGCCCCAAGCACGTGCTTGTAGTGCTTATACGTTAATCCGCCACTGATGGCCACCTTCCAGCTCCATCATCAGATCAGCTCCATGTCATCATAATATTGCATGGTCATCCAAATCACATGTGTTTGCGAAATTTCAGCTTAATCGGTTGCCTGGAAGTGGGTCTTAATTCAGTTTGCAAGATTCCACCCATACAAATATGAGCCACCTATGGCCACCTTCCAGCTCCATCATCAGATCAGCTCCATGTCATCATAATATTGCATGGTCATCCAAATCACATGTGTTTGCGAAATTTCAGCTTAATCGGTTGCCTGGAAGTGGGTCTTAATTCAGTTTGCAAGATTCCACCCATACAAATATGAGCCAGTCGTTGTAATATGACGTCACGCGCATAAAATGGCGGGCCGGCCGCCGCCCGCACTTTTAAAATTCAATATCTTGGAAACTAATTGACGTATCGAAATAATTCTTTCACGTGTATTTTTTATTTTTAACAGAGAATACAGAAAGCTAAAAAACAAAATTAGTGAACATTCTTCATTTACTATACAAATTCTTATTAGATTAAGTTTAAATTCGCGTCTGCTATGCTGTACCTATACTCAAATAAATTTTTGGCAGTGCTCTTTAGTTAGATATTTTTAGATACAAAAACTTAAGGGAGGGAACCATTAGAGATGAGCATAGAGGAATTAAATTCCTCTATGGAGATGAGGTATCAATTAATCTGATTGACTAAAAATAAATAGTACTTCAGTGGACATTTTAGACGCCTAAAACTTATTGCAAGTTTAGTACAAAGTTCTGACTTCAGTTGTTACATTGCGATAAAAAATAAGCTATTGGAATAAAGTTAAATTTAATCAATCCAATTCATCTCCCCAAATTTTCAACGTAAGATTACCCATTCAAATCATGTGCAGCACTGCTGCTGGACAGACAGTCTAAACCAATTAGGCGCGTTGATAATCTGCGCGATTGTTGTTTACGCCAAACGGCAGAGGGAGCCACGGACGGGCTTGCGTGTTTTTGATAGAATTCCGCTGAAGTGAGTAT